GTCATGACTATGACTTCAACATTGAGGCCTGCAGCCGCACGATCCAACAATTGGAGCCTATCGCCAACCAGCTGCTCACGATGAAGCCGGAGGACAGACAGGGATTCACATTGCCACCTGGACTTGGTGGACAGAGTGAGACGATCTACAAACGTGTCATTATGAAGATCTATGGCCGCGACAGGGGAAAGGACGTGATTAAGGAATTGTTCCAAATGCCCTGGAGCGTCGTCCCTGTACTCCTCCACCGCTTGAAGACCAAACTCGAGGATTGGAAGGCCGCTCAGCGTGAATGGGAAAAGGTCTGGCGCGATCAGACCCAAAAGATCTTCTGGAAATCCCTGGATCACCAGAGCATCACCGTCAAACAGGCCGACAAGCGACAGTTCCAGCCCAAGTCCCTCACGAACGAGATCCAGGTCAGATACGAAGAGCAGAAGCGCCTCCAGCAGATCCAAGAGATATCGCAGCCGGACTACCAGTTTGCCTTTTCCTTCCGGGATGAAGAGGTACTCTTCGACGTTGCTCGGCTAATGCTCACTTTTGCGGACAACAACAACAGTGCCGACTTTGCAAAAGTCGTACCCTTTATCAAGGAATTCGTTCCTCTCTTCTTTGGCATCGATTCTGCCAAGTTCGAGCAGCGGGTACAAACCTCGCCACGCGATACGCCAAACGATTCTGGCGAGGACACACCCTCTCCGGACGATGATGTTTCCCAACGCTCGCAGAAAATGAAGAAGGGGGACCTCCGTCGCAATGTTCTCGACCCCAACAACAAATCACGAAAGGACAAGGAAGACAGTGTTGCGTCGGCGAGCCGCGACAGTACGCCGGACGCGTCCGCTATGGACGAGGAGGCAGCTGGTGACAGCTCAAACTCCAACCCTCGCGCAGATCGGCCAGAGAGGCAATGGGTAGAATACACCGATGCTCCCACGCCTTTCGGCGACAGAGAGTTCGAGCACGAAGAGCCCTACCAACGCGTGGAGTACAATATGTACTCGAACGCTTCCATCTACTGCTTCTTCCGCATGTTCGTCATGCTCTACGAGAGGCTGTTGAAGCTCAAGGATAGCGAAGAGGAGGTACGAGAAGTCATCGCGCGCGCCAAGGAGCCAAAGGCAGCGCAGAAGCTCAAGATGCTCGACAAGCAGCCCGACGACTTCTTCAAGGACACATCGCCATCAGCAAACTACTACCAACAGCTTCTCGAAATGTTCCAGGATCAAATCTCCGGCGAAGTAGAGATGAACTTTATCGAGGAGACTTTACGAAGGTACTACCTGCAGATCGGGTGGCAGTTGTACTCGTTCGACAGGCTCTTGAGCTCGCTTGTCCGATTCGCTCTTGCTGTTGTCAGTCATGATAACAAGGATAAGAGCCTTGATATCTACAACCTCTTCAGGAAGGATCGTGTCAACGATACCACGACTCACAAGAACGAGATTAGCTATCGCAAGGCTGTGGAGAAGCTCGCCAAGGACGCTGACACCTACCGCATCACCTACGTAAGTCAACACCACCTCCCTCTTATGAATCATGTATTGATGTTTCTACAGAACCCCGCCAAGATGTGGGCGCACGTGCGGCTCTTCAAGAAGGACGACCCGACCTTTGATTTCACCACGCTCGACCGGATTAAGCGCTGGCGAGCATACGTCGCCTCGTACATGGCCGTGGAACCCACCGAAGAAGTCGACCTCTCCCGTGTCAACTACCCGTACCTCAAGAAGCGTCTCGCTCGAGCCGAAGATCTCACCGAGGAAGAACGCTTCGACCACGTCAAGCACAGCGACAAGATCACCGTCTCGATCAGCCCCGCCGCTTACATCATGACCTTTATCAACAGTGAACCTTTCGGCACAGGTGGTGTTCAATACTTCCTACAGCCAGACGCCGTGCGCGCGGGTCTCAGCGAGGCCGTCCCCAACCCAGCTGAGGAGTACAAGAAGCTCAATGACGAGCGGAGAGAGAGGGTCCAAGATATTCTCGTCAGGAACAACACCTGGATGAAGGATCTTAGCCGGGACGATGTAGACGCGAAGAAGGCGGCGTTCAAGAAGGATCTCGAAGAGCCCAGGAAGGTGGCTGATAATGAAGATGTGGACATGGACGGCGCAGATGGTCTCGACTAGGCGCTTTATCCTTTTGTTCGCAAAGACTATGCGGCTGGGTGATTGGCAACGCATGTTCTTGCGTCTCTGGCCTGGCGTTCTTTTGTGTGGTGTGGCGGGACTTGGATGCCAGAATGCGAGCGGACGAAAAGGTCTGGTTCTCTACGGATTTCTTCTGGCTTCGATTCAGTTTTGCATGTTTCCCGCCTTCACGCGTTTGGAAGGGGTGGTTGGGTGGGTGGCATGTGCAGCATAAGGCGTGCCTTTGCACAGCATGACTATGGAGGGTTTCTTCTCTTTCTCTCTCCGAGATGGGCGCTGGCGGCGTTTGTTAAGGATATGATAACCCGACTCGACTCTTCGTTCCCATCTATATCCAAGTTTTTTTGTGTGTTTTAGTAGGATTGCGAATTCTATTCTCATTTTTTGAAGCATGCTTTCTGGTCGTTGTGTAAAGATACTTGAAATGAGTATGAGGTGGTAGGGCAATATGCTTGTATACCGAGTATATACGTGGTGTAATTACATCGCGTTGTGGCTGCATCTTAACACGTGATTTGTTTACAAGAGGAGATAGCTCAGAGCCCCTATCGCAACCATCAGGCATGTTAGACCCCCGACGAGCAGTTGCTGGGCGGTACTCTCATCTACAGGGCAACTGATCTCTGGCTCTGGAGCCCTTCCAGCCTCCACCCACATTAGATTCTCATCCGAACAGAGACTTGCCGTCAGGGCCACCGCCATGCTTGTCGCGCTTGCAGCGTCAATCTTGACCTGGCAAGGCGTTGGGGTGACGGTTGAATTGTCCAAGATTGCGCACTGTTCGCCCACGCCGTAGGAGCCTCCGGTAACTTTCGTAGTATCAACGACGTTGACAGCTATACCCTGATCTCCAGGACAACTCTGGTCTTTTGTTGCGTCGACAAGATCAATACCCTGCGCAGTCTTCTTCGTGGTGAACTTGATGCCTGAGCCGAAGCGTTGCCCTTGGGAATCTCGATAATGTATTTCCCGAAGAGGGTCGTATGTACAATTAGACCAGCGCAGGAACCAGTTTAACATCCATTTGCCCTCTATGTTGAGTTCTGTGTAGTGGCGATATACGAGCTCCGGGTCGGAGCTGGACGTGTCTGTCCAGTTGAGGGTTCCGTCCCGATAGTGGTCGCCGAAGCTTCCCTCGTCGACGATTGAGCCGTTCGTTATATTCCAGACTTGGAAGCTGAGATGCAAACCAAGTAACGTCGCGAGTTCGGGGTTCCGAACTGCAAAGACGATGGGGAAATATGGCCCTGGCGCGTATGTGTCGTTGCGTGGGAAGACTAGGTCTACTTCCACAACGCCTGAGGTATCGCTGGCAGCCGCATCAATAGCTCCCATCCAGGCAACGGATAGCCAGGTGACCCAAGTAAGAACCCGCATTCTGGGGACGAGAGACGGCCAGAAGGCTGCCGGAAAAATGAAAGTGAAGCAGCAATCGTAGCAAAGGCCCGGTAAGTAATTCAGTGAAGTTGAGAAGCCACAGTACAAAGGAAGAAACTCGCCCAGGGGAGCGACATTTGTATTAGGTATTGGAAGGATTAACGGATAATAGGAACAAACCTGAACAAAGCTCTATACCTGATAGAACGATAAACGTGCGGTCGGGTACAGTAGTCCAAGTTTGGGACAGGATTGGATAGTAGCTCGCCAGGGGCAAGGACCTACTAAGGTGCGGCACGGGTTCCAAAAGGGTAGGCTAGCGGGGGTCGATGCCGTGAGAGCCGCATCGCCGCATTCTTTGTGACATTGCGCTGGAGCCTAAGGTTTTTTTCGTGAGTAATTCTGGTTATGTACGTCCGGGGTTTGGATAGTCTGTAGCGATGGGTTGCTAAGTTCCCGAGGTTGTGTGAAGTGGCTGTCAGGTGATTCTTGGCATACCCACACATGGCCTTGCGTCCCATAGTGGTTAGCTTATGCATATGCTGCATCGATTGCAGTGGCCGTCGCTATGCTCAATAATATCAGCGAGGAATAATTCGGCAACGGCATAGTGGTGATTGGAATGGATATTTCCTTCTTGCTTTCCTCAATCACACCATTTTTTTCAAGTTTGAGCAAATATTAATCCAGCATAGCGCGGTGTTAAACGTGATATATAAGTCTGTTACTGTTTGTCACTCTAGTCATGCTGTAGAGCTGAATGTGGAATAGGGTTGTTTCTGTCGATTCCAACTCCGTAAGACGTTCCAATATCCACTTCTCTTGACAGTATTAGACTTGAGTGCACTCCTCGCAATGCCATTCATTATGGTAATTCACAGCCCCGCAGTCCTTACAGATCCAGCCTCGATTTGACATGCTGTGGATTGTCGCTTCGGAGTTTTGTTAACTCAAGTGTAGATCGTTGTTGGGTTCAATGCGGACTCGTCGCTGGGGGTAGGCTTAGTGTGAGAGTGGGGAAAACGTATAGGTGCGTTTTGATTTACTATAACACAGTCAGCATTCGGAGTAATGGCAAGAGACTGCCTAGGTAGGGAATAACTACGTAGCGTTTTGTGGAGTCGTTGTTCATGCGTCAGTAGCAGATATCGCTGCGGGACTTTTATATCGATTCGTTTCCAACATCGAAGGTTTGCTAGTTCTTCCAGGAAGAGCACATTCCTAAACTGCGAAGCCAACTTCACGCTACGATTTCAATTTGTAACTTGGATGATCGGACATAGAATACATCCTCCCATGATTCACGTACCATTAGATCGAATTCTTACTCTGACTTCTTGAATCCCTCATATTATCGTAGGTGATAAATAGATCCAATATGCATAGTTCAAAACCAGTACCGCTATAATTCCCGTCATTTCTCTAATATACCCCCCCTGGCTCGTCAGAACACCCTAGATTATAATGTCCACAGACGCGCGTCTAGCAGCTCTCGAGGCTCTCGCCCGTGAAAACCAAGAAAAGATCGAAGAACTAAACCACAAGAACTGGCTACTCAGTAACCAAAACATCAAGATGCAAGAAGAACTCGCCAAGTTGGAAGAAGATGTACGCAACGTATATCCGGACTTTGATACTAGGCGTACCAACCATTCAAACTTTCAGGCCAACCCATCGCCACCTCTTCATGATCCATCCGTCGCTAGGAATGTCTCTCACGCTCGCCCACAGCTACTTCAGCGTCCACCACCAGGACCGTCATGGACACCATTCTACATGACCGCCCGCGACGCCCCACGACTATATCTAGAGTTTGTGATACCAGGTTCCAAAGGCGAGACGTTGGGGATAGCTGTAAACAACGTAGATCTGGCCTTTATATTACAGCAGACATTGCGACGGAGAGGGTGGGGCGAAGCGACGACGAAGAGGGGTGTCGAGGATTTCCTAGCGCAGCCGATGATGAAGGTAACTTGGACGGGCAGAGAGGAAGAGTTTGGAAATCTGACCTAGTCGCGCGAAGAGGTTGGGTTGTAATGTATCTTCATTTGAGAAATAGAGTCTATGAAGAAGGGGTATTTGGTATCTCAACGCCGACCCATGCATATTAAAATGCTCATGTTCAATCGTCTTTGTGCTTTTCGTCAAAAGCGAGCATGAGGCCCATGGCCCGCTCGTATGTCCACATTGTAACAGCGCTGGCTGGCGCAGCTTTCAGAAGACTGACCGTCAGCCCACGGTACATTCCCCGTCTGCCTTCATGCTTCCATATATGCGTAATGGTACTGATGACGCCGGTATATGTCGGTATGTTCCGATGAACGTATCGCTCGCGCATCGGTCCTTGGACTTGTAGTCGCTTGCGCGTGGTATCGAGCGGGTAGACGGCTGTTTTGGAGAGAACGCTCGCGATGACACCGGCGACGGCATCCGAGCTTCCGAGTGGCAGTGGTATGGGAGAAGAGGCGGTTATAGGCTTCAAGCTTTCGTAGCTAGCGAAGAAGAGGCCCATGTACGGCACAATCTGGCTCACGCCTGCGCCGAGGCCGCGAAAGAAGCCTCTGGGTCCTTCATGCTGCGCGATGTGCTTGAGAGACGCGATGATGGAGGTATAGACGCGATCTTTGCCTTGCGCAGCAAAGCGCGTGCGAAGAAGATCGAGCGGGTATGTCGCCGTCGTCGCAGCAGCACCCGCACTAGCTCCGCTGAGGAAATTTGCGACTGAGCTGGGAAGCGTATATGGCGGCGGAATAGTCTCTAGCCAATGCGATATGTACGTGTAGGCAGAGAACTGGGCGCTACCGTACGTCAAGTACATGAGCTCCGCCGGTATGTTGCCCTTCCATAGCCCCGTGACACCCTCTTCGCGAAGAATCTGTTTGAGGGTGCCCAATGTTCCTTTGTAGACGGGCCCTTGAACGTTGCGAACGCTGAACGGGTCGGAGAGCGAGTGGATTTGGAGTTGCAGGCGGATCTTTATGACGTCGAGGGGAGCTATCACGAAGCTGTCGCAATGTCAGCCATGTGCGCGAACATGGGAGATTGAACATACCGCGACACCAGGCCTGCCGCCGCACCTGCGACGACAACTTGTCGCTGGGAGCCCTATCAGTCATATTAGCCCTGGTTCTGCCAGCATGGCGTGTCGGTAAACGGTCAAGATAGACAAGCTCCTACCTCATGCTTCAGCTGTGCGACACCCTCAGACATGCGCCCAGCGCGTCGATTGAGACACGTGCTATGTTCGCGCGCGTAATTAGCTACCCACCGCCGATGCTCGGTAGGACACCTGTGATTGCAAACGTGCCGGGCAAAGGGTAGTAGAGACCTCGGTTTACGGGTTGATTGTTTCCACCACGCTCGCTCCCTGACGTTGAAAAGCAAGGAACCCCGCCGTGTCCCGTCACTGCCAACAGCTGCGGCCGACCATGTCTTTCACCATCACCACCAGAATACCGCTACGGAGTCTGAGATCGCAACTCACCACTTCCCGCAGGACTACGCTTGCTGTTCAGAGACGGTGTTTCTTCTTCAACTCGTTCTGGCGATCACCTAAGCCGGCCGAGCATGCTGATTGGAGCCCCGCTACACATGGCCCGTTTCGGCCAACCAAACGCCAGGAACAGCTGCAACAGCAACAGGAGCAAGAGCTGAGACAATCGAAAGAGCAGGAATTTCTCGTTCATGATGAATCCAACATTGGACAGCTTGACGGTAGCCCAGCGAAGAGAATCGCGGTAAACATCGATGGAGAGCCCAAGATCTTCGACGCTGCGTTCCTCCGTGACAGCTGCACGTGTACGCAATGCATGGACCCTGACAGCAAGAACAAGCGCTTCCAGACGTCAGATATACCCGAAGATCTAGAAGGTAGCTGCAAGACAGTAGTTGATGAAGAGAAGGGGGTCTCTATCGAGCTTCAATGGAAGACAGACGTCAAAGGCTTCGGTCCGGAGCACCGCACACGGCACTCCATCGACTGGCTACGCCGCGCATTCAACACAGAGATTGAGCTACGTGGCGGAGTGCGACACGATGACAGAGTATTTTGGGACAATAGAAGAATCGTAAAAGACAATAAGTGGCTCGACTACGACACCTACATGTCCCAAGACGAAACACTCTTCGAAGCTCTCACCCACCTGAACCGCTACGGCCTCCTCTTCATCAAGAACGTGCCCGAATCCGAGGAATCCGTCGTAGCTCTCGCCTCCCGTATCGGTACTCTCAAAGATACTTTCTACGGCCGAACGTGGGACGTCCGCTCAAAACCCAAAGCCGAAAACATAGCCTACACACCCGACTACCTCGGTCTCCATATGGACTTGCTATACACATCCAACCCACCGCATCTGCAACTCCTGCACTCCCTGCGAGCCCGTACCCCAGGTGGCGAATCCTTCTTCTCAGACTCCTTCGCTGCAGCACATCAACTCCGGCGGCAATCCGAGGGCCATTTCAGAACGCTGTGTACCTTCCCCGTAACATACCACTACCACCACCCGACCTACCATTACCACTTCACCCGGCCAGTGATTGAAACCTTCGCCTATCCCAACTACAGCGACCCCGCCAACCTGGCCATCCGCCGCATAAACTGGTCTCCACCTTTTCAGGGCCCCTTCGAAGCGCGTATCGGCAGCGGCAATTCCACGTCGCTTCGCTCCTTCATTGCTGCTTCGCATGCGTACGAAAAGCTGCTTAGTGCGGAGGAGAATTTGTATGAGTATAGGTTGAATGAGGGGGAGTGTGTCATCTTCGATAATAGGCGGGTGTTGCATGCTAGGAAGGCTTTCGATGCTACAAAGGGTGAGCGGTGGCTGAAGGGGGCGTACGTGGATGACGATGTATTCTTTAGTAAGCTGAGGGTGCTGGAAGAGAAGTTTGAGGGGAAATGGGTCGCTGAAGGTGTGGTCAGGCATGCCGTGAAATGAAGGTGGGGGTGTTCAGTAGTCTAGGTTGCGCAGTATGGATATGGCTGTGCTTCGGAACTCGGGTCTCTTCTTGGAATCAGTCTATTGTCAGCATGCGTGGAAGCTAACACCCATGCCCCCTGGGCTACAGAAAACAGTCCAGTCTCGAAAGAGGTGAAGACGGACTTTGGGTAGCCTTTGGTTGCCATCTGACTCCAATGCATAGTCAGTATCAAGACGTCGTCATGACCCAAAAAGAAACCTTTGCGATTCCTGGGTAACTTGATCCTGAGCACGACCGACGATGCTTCCCACCACGATGCTCTGATCAATATTTAGCACGAGTGATTTCCAGGTCAACACCCTCGTTCAGACCGCGCTGTACCCGCTTTCCAATACTCATCACTGCCTGTTCCAATCTCGTCGAATCGAAATCCCCGCAGCCCACATGCAGATGTACAGACCCCACTGCTGGAAAAACTTGCGACAAGGAATCAAGCCGGCACTCATGCAGATCCGCAACGAGGCTCTCAGCTTCTCTTAAATAGAACGTTATGCGAACCGTGCGGATGATCTGACGTTCCGTCGTATCAAGCCCCAGCATGAGAGTGTAGTATGATTTGAGAAAATGGGGGAAGCAGAATGTGTTGAGCGAAAAGGGAAGGAGCTTTGCTTCGTCGTAGACTTTGCGGCAGACGCGCAGGAGAGCGAGGTCATTTCGATGCGTGTATGTGGCTTTGAAGGAATATACCCAAAGGGCGTATGTGCGTTGGCCGAGGACGTGTTCGTAGATGTGGTTTCTGATTTCTCCGGGTAGGCGCAAAAGTGGGGACTCGGCAGTGTTGCGCATGTATCTGTTGATGTTAGCTTGGCATGGTGAATGGCTCTGACACGCCTGCGGTGCAGTGTTTCGGTACTTACATGAGCAAGCGTGCGTCGGTCGTGCGTTCCGTGTCCGTCATCGTTGGCTACTCAGAGTGTCGAAGTAGTATGGCACGGGGAAAGACGTGGGGAGCACAAGGTAATTCACACAGCCAGGACTACTAAGAGAGAAGGCCAGGGTCTATTACGCTAGCCTCAAGTAGACCGCTCGCTCACCTGCCCCAGATGGCGCCCACGGTATTTCCCGAGCTAGAAACCAGGAAGCCACGCTGAAGTAACGAGCAAGTGTCCGCGCCTTGAGACCGCATCATCTGGACTTGTGCAACGAGATCAGTCTATGTCACTATCCAACATGCTAACTCAGCAACCCAACTACATCCTGCTTCTTCTTCTTCTTATCCCCATCATCGACGGCCGTGATTTGCCTTACACGGCCCTGAACAGCTATAGCTTCCTAGGTACTATCACCACGGTTTTAGTCGTACGGTCCAAATAATTCCTGAGTGTTCTCACAAGCGCTCGGAACTCATCACACTGCCGTTTATTTGATATCAGTGGCTCCTCAACATAAACAGTTCGTAATCCGCGCAGCCCGCGCAGATAAAGAGAACCACAGATGATTTGAGACTTCCCACTCGAGTACCAAGGCAGAGTGTGTTCCCATGCGTTGAGCTGTACGGTCTCGATTTCGTCGAGCTGTGAGGGCGAAAGTCGCATTTTGAACGTCTGAAACTCGAGGACAGTGTTGAAAGAGAAGACGTTCAGTGCGATATATGCTGACTTGGCAGTCTCATGGTAGGTTTGACTGCAAGCGAGTAGTAGACTGAGCGGATGTCCGTTGACGCGACCGTCGCCCTGGACTCTGTAAACACGGCCGCTTAGTACGTATCTAAAGAAAGCACGAGACGTTAGCATAACTCGTTTGTATTGCGATGGGCAAGGATCTCCGCACCCGTAGATTTGGTTCCGTAGCTCAGCTGGAAGACGCAGAAGGGGTGACGAGTCGGCGTTGCGCGAAGTACTGGAGGGGTCGGTCAGCTGGCAGACAGACAGACAAGACGGTGTTGTGTTACATGTCGGAGCCCCGACTTTCAGGTTTGGCCATTACAACGTTTCGAGTTTCCTTCGTAGTAGCGAAAAGGTGGAAAAAACCGGTAAAGGTATTGAGCAAGTCGAGGTCTCGTAACAGGGATAGTGTGGTGGAGGAGATGTGGTCAATGTATTGATTCTGACTGAGGGAGGTGGTGGCACAGACTAACACCCGCTAGCGTTGTTTTAGTAGAGGGGAGAGCCCTGGAGAACGAACCTGGAAGGTGCGACCAGACAGCGTCGCTCCTTCCAATCTCCAGTGAATCCAAGAACTGGGTAGATAATAGTGAATCGAGTTGTGGTTTGCAGTATACATACTCGAAACCTTAATAACTAGACCATTACTAAGCTAAGGTATACTCCTACCCTAATTATTCTTTGTAGAATGCGATTGATGTTGATTGGCTTGTAACTGGCGCTTCATTCGAGCCAGAATGACTAGCTGACTTGTCTTCGCAAGGTGTACTCCTATAGGCCGGGTTGGGGTATATTTGGAAGAGCGTCTCATTGCTAGCTCCGAGGAAGCCGAATGGCAGAGTGTTCGAAGTGACACAGCCTCTGATTTCAGGTATTGTACTACCATGTGCTCCATTTCGGTGCCGCGATGCATACGCCGAGGAGACTGAAGCTTCTTAAAGGCGAAGCCCGTTCGCCCATCCCCGCGGGGTGTATAAGGGGCTCTTCGCGTTTTGCTCGATTGAGGAAACCTTTCCACTCTTCTTCGGTGCAGACCAGAGGTTCCATGTGTCCCCAAGAGCGAATGTTACTGTCCAGAAATCTTCGGACACATCCTATCGCGTATACCTGTTTCCATTGTGTCGACTTTGAGACACCAAGCAGTGCCACCTGTGCCTATCTTGGGTGCCATGTTCAACCCCAAAAGAGCAGTATGTTACGGATCCGACTTGACTCTCTCACGCTGCAGCTTGTTGTTTCTTTTTCTTTTTATACAAGACGGCTTTGTGTCTCTTCTCCTCGAACCCAGCAGACTCCCCTCGGTGCCCTTCCATCCAACAATTCTGGCAATATAAATCACCGTCACAGCTCAGGCACTTCAGTGTCGCATCGTCTTGACAGATGATACACCATGTATCAATCTCGTCGTCAACCTGTTTTTGTATATTCGTAGATACCGGCGGCTTATTCCTTGGCGCGAAAGATGGGGCGGAAGGAAGGCCGAGTGAATCTGTTTGTGATGGCGAAGGAGCGGCTAGAGCGGCCAGGCGTGCGGTGAATGCATCTTCGATGGCTTGACTGCTCGCGAAGTCGTCTTCGGGGAGGGTATTTGGGGCGGAAGGCAGTGTGAAGCTGCCGTCTGTGGTATCTGCCGTTGATGCATTCTTCTGGTCTCCCGATTCTGACTTGTCGTCTTCTGACGGAGGACAAGGGGGATCGTATTTCTTGCTAATTTCCAGTTCTGCCATGACTCTCGCAATCACATCATCTGCCTCGTCGTCCTCGGTTCTCTTCTTGCCATCTTCATCTTCCTCATCTCCACTTTCTGTGCCTTCCCTGGCTCCACCGACCTCTCCACTTCCTACGTTGATTTCGATGCTCTCCCAGTCCGTCAACTGCTCCTTCGATGGCTGCTCAGATTTTGTACGCCCACTCTGCGGCCCTTGTGCCCTAGTATTCACCACTTCCGGGAGTATCTTGCGCATGTCTCTCAACAGCTTTCCAACATCTTGTTGTTCTTCCTTGGACACATCCCAATCCTTCCGATCGCCGACGGCGCCGTTTAGCTCACCAAGTAACTCTTCTAGGCTCTTTTCATCTTCCTCGTTAAACTCTACATCAGAGCCTCCTACGCCTTGGGCTATCCCTTCCAGGTAGCTCGGTGCCCCTGGTGCTGCGACCGGTGCGCCGGCATTGTTCGTGGACGTTGTTCGCGACGGCTGTGGCGAGCCCGAGGGAGACGCGCTACCAAGACGTGCGAAGCGAGCGGCGAGGTCATCGGTGGGTTTGGGAGAATTCCTAGGTGCTATCGAAGCGCTATAGTTGGTACCTAGGCTGACGGAGGATGTCTTGAGCGCATTGAGGCGGGCAAGGAGGTCGTCGTCTGTTGAGCTAGGTTCGGGCATCTCTGGATGGTGGGCGATCACTACGGTGATGTGTGGATAAGGACTGTGGATGTCTAAGTTATAGCGCCTACTGGACGCGGCTCATGACGCGGTGTTGCATGAAGCTCGAGGCTCGGGAGTGAGCGGAGTTGGCGCGACAGCTGTGGTGGAGCGCGGTGGGGGAGGGGCGAGCTATCCCTGACCGCGCTTCATCTCCCATCAGATAACATGTACGATCCAACAGCTGCATTATTAAATTACAAGTGAATCCAAAAACATCTGGATGTAGACTGCATGTTTCTTGTGGCCGGGCCGGGGTTACTGGAGATGGTTGTCAGCGGCCCGTGTCCTCACATGCGTGACATCCGGCCCCGCTTTCGTCATATCCAGAGCTCCGAAGTCCATCGTACAGCTCAACATTGCGTGATCTGACTACATCTTAAAATCCTCCGTAGCTTCCAATCGCTCTGCTATCTGTTCATCTACAGTAAACATCTAGCACGATCGCAGCTCCATCTCAATTGAGCATCCACATCTTCACCGGACCCCCAGCACAACCCTAGATCCACCACCGCCATGGCTCTCGCACCCAAATTTGCTGGCCAAAAGCTCGCCTCCAGTGCTATCCAACCTAAAGCCATCCACACTCTCGAGCTCTGTAAGTACTTCATCCTCAACTGCCGGATCACAACTTCCCGGTTTGTCCCAAGCCTTCCACCAGACTAACAATCAGATCCCAGACCTCGACTACGTATGCCCCTTCTCGGCAAAGATGTTCAAAACGATCTACGAGACCCCTCTCCGCAAGACACTTCTCGAGAAATACTCCGACCGCGTCGTAACCATCTTCCGGCAGCAAATCCAACCCTGGCACCCGTCCTCCACCCTCGTCCACGAAGCCGCCTACGCCGTACAAAAGGTCGACAGTTCCAAGTTCTGGGACTTCTCACAGAAGCTGTTTGTCCAGCAGAAAGACTTCTTCGACGTAAGCCTGGTCAACGAGACGAGGAACGCGACGTACAAGCGACTGGCCAAGATCGCCGGGTCTGTGGGTGTTGATGAAGGCAAGGTTTATGGACTGTTGGAGATAAGCGACAAGCCTGGCGAGGATGGGGCACTGAACTCAGGAAACGGGGTTACGGATGATGTCAAGGTGCAAGTGAAAGCGAATCGACTGACGGGTGTGCATGTCACTCCTACGGTTGTGTTTGATGGGGTTGTGAACAATGAGATTAGCAGTTCGTGGACGGCGGAGCAGTGGGAAGAGTGGCTGGAGAAGAATGTCAAGTGACTGCATGACAGTGAAGAGGTTGCGAAAGGAAGATTGTGAGTGACCGTAGACTTCATATTGTAGTTTGCTGTATACACGCGGCTACACTTCATGAGGAAGTTACACTTGGACTGCTTAACAACCTGCTCATAGTCTGAAGCATACCCTATGAAGCTGTAACTCCATGTAATTGGCATGCAGTATCATGGATAGAGCCACTCCAGTGTGTTGCGCCCGCAGTTTCTGCACCAGCATGTTCATCATATAAGCACTGGACGCCATACAGAACTCCAATGAGTGGGACATGCTGGAAGATCAGACACTTACATACAATGGCGATGAATCAATCGTCACCGTACATCCTATCCGATACCTGGCATACACTCAACTCTTTGTTGCACCACAGACCTTGAAGTAGTCGTCGAAGCTTATTGAGACATGGGGATTGGTATGCCAACTTGCTCACCCAGATGCCTAACCAGGCAACGAGGATAGCTTTGACAAAGGCCACCTGATGCCGCTCTTGCGTTCGATGTACTTGCGCGAGAACGTGGGGGAGGCTAGATCCACAGTCCCCCCAGGTTCGCTCTCTCACCCATGCGACTCTCACCCGAGCCTTTCTACGGCTGCTAGTCTCTTGTATAAGAGCCGGCAATCGATACTCTTACATTCTCTACTCCTCTTCTTACTAACAATCTGAACATAATCCCCCCAAGCAACACCTAACGGTGATCAGCCATCCTCCCTTCTCACCTCCAAACCAAATCTGATCGATGGATCCATTCTTAACAGCAACTACCGGCAATCCGGACCCCGCGACCACCATATCGACCCTTCCAACAAAGTTGTTCCGCCCCACTGCATCTACTTCTGAGGAGTACATACCCGACTTCTCCGAGCTCCCGGACCTACACACAGTCATCTTAGCGGAAGACAAGTATGACTACTTATTTCATGATTATAAAAACCCCTTAACATGGGCACGGGCCAATAATAGAGCCACTTCAACACAAAGTGAAGGGACCTTTATAAGGGCTCGTACTGCCCGGTCGCAAGTTCAAATGCTCGAAGAGGGAGGAGACCAGATCATCCAACGTATCGCACCGGAACCCGAGCAGCGTTTTGCCATTTACACATGGAACTACGACCAGCATGGCAATTTGAAGCAGGCTCCGCACATCACAAAACAAGAGCTGGAGGCGTGGAGGAAACTCGATCCGGAATGGAAGCGTCGCTCCGTTGAACCTAAAGATAAGCCGCTGCCAGTCAAGAAGAAGCTCAAGACGAGCCATGATGGACACTTAATGCCGGGATTCGACGATTACACGATAGATGAGCGGAGGGAGGCGCTCAAAGCGACGGAGTCCGGTGTTTTCCCCATGAAAGACGCCCTATGGAGGATTGACCGGCGGGCGCGCGAGCGACTGGTGATAGAGTTGCAACAATCTGAAGCCAAGGTGGAGGTCTTGCAGCAACGTCTCGCTGCCGAAGAGATCAAGAAAGAGAAGGGAAAAAAGGAGACGGTGGCCTTGCAGATGAACGATGGGATTGCCCAGAAAACAGGAGGGACGAACGTGTTGGAGTTGAGACAGAAGAAGAGAAAAGTATCGACTTGAAGAGCATGAAGTAACCACGTGGCGATATGGCAGACCTGGAGAGTTGGAACAATGGTATGGAGGCTGGGTGTCACAACGGCCAGGCTCGTGGAGCAGAATAATGAGTACGTGGCTGAGCATATGGAGATCACCGCAACTGGAAGATAGGAACGTCCAGGTTGCATGGTTATGATGCGGGTTTCAAGTCAAAAAGTGATTTCAGAGTGCGATCTCATACTAGGATTAGTATAGGAACTACAAAAGTTTAATGAGCCTATTTCAAATTTGTCTTAGCAGGAAGTTCGGTGCCCAAATGTGGGACGTTGTTGGCGTAGGTGCATCCTCTTCTTCGTTGACGTAAGGGCGCGCGCGAACCTTTTGTGACCTCCACGACCTATCTTCCTATCAACCTACGAACGTCACAGTCGTCTCCTCGCCCACCTTACAGCCCACCGCCGTCTTGCCCTATCGCCTTAGATACCTCCTCGCCTGGCTGTCGAGTCGTCGACGACATGCTGGGGCCCAATGTCGTCCTCAAAGCTGTTTCGTACCGCTACTAATGAGCACGTTCCGCTCGTCCTCAACGGGCAGAATCTTCTTGGTTGTCTCAGTCGTAGAATCTGGTAAGCCATTTGTGGCTTCCCATTCCTTTGCGACCTTGTTGTCTTTTATCACCGAGGTCTGAAAGCCTAACCTGGCCTCGCTTTCCACAGTTTCGACCTTGACGTATGCCCTCCCTGTGGCGGTCAGCAGTGCTTTGATCTTTTGGCTAGCCTCATCCTACCTAATACAGGCTGCTACTTTCGTGGCTTCGGCAGCGGCGAGCACTGGTAGGTGATACGTAGAATCTACCGGCTTGCTGTATGTGGGTGCCGAACCGATGACCACTCCGTAGCTTCGTAGACGGCATCCGCTGGGGATACCGCACTCTCTAACGAATAGACTATTAGCCTATTACTCCTGATATACTAGGCGCGCGGCGAGGTTCTTACTAGCGAAACTACCTAGGTAGCATTCCAGTGCTACATGTCTACCTAGGTGATGACGATGTCTTGCGTCCGGAGCGGGTAGACCTCGGGAGTCATACGGATGCAGGGTCGTCATCGGATGCGGCCAGCGAAAGTAGTGTTGAAGGTCAGAGGATTTGACGAGTCGTAGCTGTCCGCAGTCGCTAGTGGACAAGGTATGTCGGCTGTTGAGGAGTTGGGGATACCTAAGTATGGTTCTGTGTCGAGCTTCTAGGGGATAGCTTGACGTGTTCGGGGTTGTGCCACCACTGCTTCCAGTCTTCGGTATAAATTGGCGTGCTCGGGATTGTGCTACGATTGCTTCCGGTCCTCGGTATGTGTTGTCGTGACTGAAACATAGGTAACCTATGCAGGCATCGAACCATACGTACATGACCTTGTCTTCGTAGCCCATGCAGGTATAACTAGGTAGAAACATGTGTACAAGATTGTGTCTTCATAATCCTAATAAAAGTTAGCCAACTGTTGTTGTATTCGTGAGCATGCTGTACCTCAAGAGGCACCGCAGTTTCCTCACATATCACGAGTGATACCGACTGACTTTAGCCCCTCTTTGCATGTCGATATTGGCTGTCGCTTCTGCGATAGCATGGTAGTGTTGCTGTGCGAAGGGCGAAAAGCTGGGCCGTGGGGTAGCCTCATCGTGTGTTAGTACCAGCGAAGCTCGCTGCAAAAAGAGATCGTCAACTACAGGAAGGCCGTCACTGCAGAAATGACGAACTTGCGTAGTTCCGGAAGAAGTCACGTTCGATATGTTGCTTCCGTTGACCACTGTGTTGATTTGGACAGCGGGAAAGAAGCATGGAGCCCGTTAGTTCTTACCGATCATGGAGTAGCAATAGACGCGAAGGATGATAACATTTTAAAGAATTTACTAGATAGCAACGAAATAGACGACGTATTATAAGACCTGCGGCACAAGTGATGAATCTAACTCTAGAAGCTTCCAGACGACGCATCGGCCGAACCAGGCCGCACATCACCCCCACAGTTCACATTACCGCTTCTGGTGCCGAAGAGAAAAAGAATCAGGCTCAATCTTCCTACTCCAAACAGGGATAACGACAAAGATAATCGACATCGAAGTCCTCTCCGGTAGAGCAGTCGTCGGTATGACCGGTTCAGAAGGTGCGAAGAGCAATCAGTGCCAGAACCCAATGGTGTACAGCGCTTTAGAAGACCGCAAACGATGGAGTTGGGCGTTCGTGTATTCGCGTGAGCACGTGCGAGCAACCGATCCCTGGTTTCCCTAGGACCGCTCTCTCACCCATGTGGCTCTCACACTCGAGCCCTCCTGCGTCCCCTTGTCTCTTAATAAAAGCTGACCAAGCAGGCTCCCATATCCTTCCTCACTCACTTCCAATGTGCCGCCATTGACTTGGCTGCGAGCCCAGCAATTTTCCCAACTGAGCACCACGGCCTGTAAGCGACGCACTGACATTACGAGATGCTGTTTATGGATGCAAGATCGGCGAAAGAAACCAGATCCAATCAATAGCCGAGGTCCGCAGCCGAATTTAAGACTACGCGATCGATCAGAGTTTCAACCTTTATTCAACTCAGTTTAACAAGCAAACCGGTAGCGCCTTGCACCTGCTATGGCTGTGTCGCCAAATCCGCAGCGAATCATACCTTCTATTCCTCAATAACACCTTGTTCGGATCTGAGACATTCTACAGAATTGATGAAGTTGCCAGAAGTCTGAATCAAGAGTATATCCAGGCTATCCGAGCAGTCAAGCTATTAAGGTACAAACTGGTGGTAGATCCTCATCTGGAAATGTTCACGTCGCTGGAAAGGGTCTATGTCTCTTTCATGCACAGAACTAACGCGAAAATTGCTCGGCTTGTACAGCGCTTCGCTGGCAAGCCCCTGCAGGAGATACTTTTCGATCATAGGAACGAAATCTTGGCATAGTCATCTCGTACCGCGTCTAGGAATTTTGGGGTCCGGCCAGGAAGAGTAGTTCCTTGAGACACATTCCTCCAAGGCTAGTGAATATGTTATCTTATATCGATAAATAACATTTCAGTGAATAGAGATTTTGCCTGTGCACGGAGCACTTCCTCTTAGTCAATAAGTCAAACCCTCCAGTACCCTCCCCCGCTACTTATATCCCCATTCCCACCGCTACCTAGGTAGAAACCGGTATAGTTTCCTTGAAGATCTCGTTATCTCTAATTCTCACCTTATAGTGTACAGTTGCGGTACGCAAGCGTTGACTTCACCATTCGAGATCGCTCGCTCCATAAGTGTACAAAAGGCCTCAACAGGTAGAGAATACCTTCCCGCTAAACTCAAGGCTTTATAAACAAGCCCAGCAATCAGTCTCAAGGCTCGCCGTCGCCGAGAGTATCACCAACAATATGTCGGACTACGATCGCATGTAAGTTTTCTCCGTTTGCCATTTCTCGATCAAAGCTAACTCCAGACTAGCACCCAACTCAACCATGACAACTCGCCCCTTCTTCAACTCCCGGGGGAGCTTCGAAACCGGATCTACAAGTTCGTTCTGCACTATCACCTCCCCGTATACGTCGATATACCCGCTCTGGAGGATGAGCACGGAAACTCTGTCTCTAGAGAAAACACACGGAGAATGCTAGCGCTTCTATATACATGTCGTCAAGTCCACAGCGAGGCCTCAATGATGTATTTCGCGCTCAACACATTCCAATTCGAGCTTGACACCTCGCTCATCGAATGTACTAGTAGTCTCACTGCGGAGCAACTTAGCGCGGTCAAGTCTATCGATATGACGGGAGAGCTTGTGGAAGAGATTGAGATGCGCGCCGAGCATCATACGAGCGACAGCCCGCAATTGCACCTCGATACGCTGACCTCGCTGCAAAAGGTATCCATCTACCCTTATGCGTTCCGCTCAACGCCAATAAATCTCGATGTCATTGGAGTTTATCTAAGGGAGGCGACTGGTAGGATGGGTCTGGAGGTCATAGAGGTCAAGAGGAAGCAGATGCTGACATAGGCAAGTCGCAATTGCGTAAGAGATTTGATGAGGAGCCATGTGGCTGGGAGGCCCTGATCAAATAGTCGTGCAGTGCTACTCTTCATGTATTCAACTCTTTCAGGTTTGGTATCTGTCACATGATGATAAAAGAGATACGAACCTCGGTTGATCGATGATCTCCAAGGTGCAATGCCAAGTTCATTGGAATGAACGAACGTGTATCGATGATCATGTAACCATGTAGGTCCTCATACTATCATGTAACCCAAAGCCCCGAATATGGCCGCTAAGCTCGCCAATCCTACACCGACAAGCTGCTGAGCCGCACTCTTGTCATCAGTGGGGCAAGAAGACCCAGGCTCTCGCGTCTGCTTGCAGTGAAGAGAAGTCATAGACGAGGAAATATCGGCAGCTGCGGCTGAGTCGAACTTGACCTGGCAAGGAGTTGGAGCTGGAGTGGTAGATGCCATAGATGCACAAGTCTTTCCATCAAAATCCTCCCAGGTGATGAAATCAGGGACCGCCAGAGTATCGTCTACGTTGATAACAATCGCTTCGCTGTTTGTGCAATTTTGATTCGTCGTAGCGGGCACAGGATCCACGACTTTTCCGGAATTGTTGATAGTAAACATTGTGATGCGACTCGTCCCATTGCCGGTGATACCACCGCCGAGGAAGGCAAGAGAGTCCTCGGTACAGGTATTCCATCTCACTTGCCATGCGATCCTCCACCTACCCTCTTTGTTGAAGCTGGTGAAGACTTTCAGCTCTCGATAAGGGTCGCTGCTGGAGTAGTTGGCCCATCTCAGGTCATAAAAGGTGGGGTAGCTGTGGACCTGGCTATCCAGGTCGAGGAATTCGATGGTCATCTGCGGATTCAGGAATGGCGCTAGCTCGGTATTCTGGATAGCGATTATGACTGGAAAGATTCCTGTAGGAGCATAAGTCTCATTACGAGGGAAGATAAGATCCAGCTCCATCGCGCCGCGGGCAGCGTTGGCAGCTCCCATGCAGGCGGCGAGGAGTACCTAGGTAAGGCAATCTGCATGCTGATGCCAAGCATGGATGGCAGGAGGGTAATGGCGAGATGGAGTTGAGAGTGCTGCAGTATCGGAGAGATGGAGAAGGAACGTCATGACGGGAAAATATCAAAGGAGGATCAGGGTACAAACGGAAGAATGCATATAGTGAGTTGGGTGGCACAGTGATTATGCACGTGCATGTACCTTACGCTAACGAGCCGTGCGAAGACGTTGGCGGTTAAGCTATCTTGGCAGCTCCTTGGCACCGGATCCTTCATTTGCGTTCGAGTTCGAAGCCCTCCTTTGTTTAGCACCTCCGCATCCGGAGCGTTTCTCAAGCGGTCTGAACATTATTGCGACGATGCCGAATGAGACGAGGCACCCAATGTTTCTATAACTCGTGTCGCATTTGCTGTGTATTCTTGGAACTTTACAAGTATACAGCTCCTACCTAGACAGTCTTCTCCTGTCCTTCAAGAAGCTGGTGCACAGTCTAATGGTGACCGCCACATACGCCAGTCGTATCATTGGTGAAAGAATGTAGAACACCGAGCATTATTTACCCTACGGGCAGATGAGTGAGGTGGTCGCTGGCATCTTTTACCCTTCGGTCTGTGATTTGGGTGTATCCGCATGAAGAAGCCGCTGACGTGTGGCGAACTCGGTCGTGAAGAAAGGAAGTCGCTCTCTAGAGGAAGTCGTGCTCATGAGGAAGCCACGTTCAACGGACCCAAACAACCCAGCTTTAGAGAAGTGACCCAAGACGAAAACACCACCCCCATGCGCAGCAACAGTATAGACGCCGAACCCGCGCCAAATATCAGACGGACTGTACAATAAGCTTGCTGCGCAGTGCAACTCAAGGGACTTCAACAACGAGATTGTCCGCCCAGTCCACCTGATCTTCTTTATTCTTCACTCTACTTCCCTTGTCCCTTTGCTTCCTAGTCTTACTATCGCGTGTACCTTCTCTTACAACCTCCTCTAGTATCTGTCTCCCTGCGTCATCCTCGCTAATCAGCTTCGCAGCGAGACTGAAAAGCACAAGTAGCGTCCACGCAGCATCGTTCCCGCAATCGTGCAACTTTGTAGGTATCATATCGGCCAGGCGACATAGCGTTCGGAGCGATACATTCCATCCAGGATCGTCAGGCTTGTACATCTCGCGAGCAAGCTTCTGCGTGTCGATGATCGCGGTCACGGTGGCTATGTCATTGATGCTGATACCCGCCTTGTTCAACGAGAGAAGATCCGAAGGGATGTCGTGGCCAACAAGGATAATCGGCAACCGCTGTTCGTTTGAGTCATTGACTTTCGATAAGTCATAGAGAGGTAGCTTGCGCGCATTACAGCACGGCTCCCTGTCTCCATTGACGCAGTGAGAAAAGATGTGGTTGAGGACGGCAGCGCGCTCGCTCCATCGCACTTGGTGCACTTGGCCATGGAACAAGGCCCGCAATTGCTTTCTATTCACGCCTACTCGGCCGTACCGGAAGTCGAAAGTCTCTGTGTGGAGGGGCGGGTGAGTATGGTGCATCAGTGTTGAGAAGTGTGAAGTTGTGAGACTCCTCGTGTCGAGTGTGGATGCTCCAATAGCGCTGAAGCGCTTGGGGTTTCCGTGTGCGATATCGAAGGAAATCAATACGGGGTGTGCGTGAGAATTCGGGTTGTCGTGGTTGCGTGCCAAAAGCTGCTGGAACAGGCAACGCACTTCTTCAAGTGAGATTGGGGGAGGAAACATGACTTTGAGGGTACTGATCCTTGCTGTTACGATCACTTCGTCTGGGCTGGGATTGACTGTCGTGCAAAAAATAGAGATGGACATCAGTTACAAGATATACTCTCCTTTGACTCACCACTTGGCCGCAGCCATACTTTGGCTCCCTTACCCTGGTTCTGTGGTAACCATGGGCGGACGACAAACCAGTCACAGCTTGCGCAATTTGCCTTTGGAAAGTACAGATATACAAAGATAGACAACCTCGATAATTCCGTGTCTTACTACGACACCACACTTTTCGATTGAGAGTATCTCTGATATCATATCCATCAAAAGGGTCATAAGCCCATACCGAACAAAAACGCCATCTATCCATATGTGCTCATAAAAGCTACTTTTATCCACTTGGTACAACCCCACGGCACTCGAGCAAGATTTACTGAGCGGCCGGCGCAGCGTTGTTGGAGACCTTTCCGTTCGTGATTTTAGGACCAACAACCGCCTCCTCAAGCGCACGCTTGACATCGGCAACAAGATCCGCCTCATCCTCAACACCACAGCTGATGCGGACGAGATCGTCAAAGACACCCGCTGCCTCGCGCTGCTCCTTGGGAATACCACCGTGTGTCATGGCGCTGGGTACCTCGACGAGCGATTCAACTCCACCCAGCGACTCAGCCAGTGTGAAGATCTTAGTCGCTTGGCAGAAACGCTCTGCAGCTGCGTGACCGCCCTGGATACGGAAGGAAAGCATACCGCCACCCATTCCGTCACGGTGCTGCTTCAGCGCAATGTGGTGTTGTGGGTGGGAGGGAAGACCGGGGTAGTTGACGGAAACGACGTGTGATGAGGCCTCGAGAGCCTTTGCGACGCCCGTAGCGTTCTTGGTTGCTTCCCTCGCGCGGAGATGCAGGGTCTTGAGACCGCGGTGTGCGAGCCAGCAGTCGAAGGCCGAGGGAACGGCACCAATGGCGTTCTGGAGGAAAGACAGGCGCTCGTATAGCTCATCGGAGTTGAAGGCCGCGGCGCCCATGACGACGTCAGAGTGGCCGTTGATGTACTTTGTGACGGAGTGCACCACGATGTCCGCGCCGTGGTCCAGCGGGTTCTGAACGTACGGGCTCATGAAGGTGTTGTCGACAACCACCATGATGCCATGCTGATGCGCAATCGTGGAGATCTTGCGGATGTCCACCAGTGTCAGCGTAGGGTTCGACGGCGACTCGATCCAGATGAGCTTCGTGTTGGGGCGGATGAGCTCGGCGATGTCGATCTCAATGCTCGGGCTGAAGGTGACTTTGACATCGTGCGTTAGGGCGACCTTGGTGAAGTAGCGGTGCGTTCCGCCGTAGACGTCTGAAACGGACACGACGTGTGAGCCTGCGGCGAGCGATTGCAGGATGTTGGCTGTGGTGGCGGAACCGGACGAGAACGCGAGCGCATAGCGGGCGTGTTCGAGGGCTGCGACTGCCTTTTCAAAGTTGTCTCTGCAGGCGCATTAGTTTTGAATATATGGGTTTCGTCGCGTATGCGTACCGGTTTGGGTTCGAGGAGCGCGAGTACTCATACTCGCCTATGGGCTTTCCAACGGCGGTTTGCGCGAATGTTGTCGACAGAGAAATCTGATTGGGTTAGCCATGGGTCTGTGAGACTTTGCGCGTGCAATGCTTACGGCTTCGATGACGGCTCCGGTGACGGGGTCATGAGGACTTCCGGCATGCACGGCGAGGGTGCCGAATCCGTGGACTGGTGACGGCGCGCGTGGCGGGGTGTCGATGGGGTGGTCGGGGAGCGTCATCTTGATCTTCTGAATACTCTTTGAACGGCGGGCGGAGTCGACTTGGTTGTACGAAGGAACTTGAACTTTGAAATGCAGCGAGAGGACAAACTTCTATCCAAATTTCAGGCCCTCCGAGGTGTTGACGCCTATAGGTAAACTATTGTTCTAGCGACAAATCCTAGCGCGCTTTCTATCGGTGGTGCATGTACGGTTGACCGTGATGGCGCGAATGCAGAATAATTCTTTCTTGCAGAATTTCCTGACAAAGTGGAGATGGAAAGCAAGGGAGAACCATCTCCATGGCTCCTGCCATCTTATACCCAACAGGCCGCGTTGGACGTCTGACATTTCTCAGCAGCAGATTAATCAGGCGGCGATTGCTCAAACCGTGTCATACACAGCTCGGCCCAAAGCGCGCGTTGGTTTCGTGAGCAAGCGGAGATGGTGTCATAGTATTCTCCGACCCGCCTTGTGACGGCCTTGGCAGCTTTTCGATTACACATCGCGCTGCGAGTGCTACCAAGTCCAGCAGGTTGTTCGGGCGAGATGCTTTATAGAGTTTTTGGATACGTAAGCACAATTTAACATTGGCGCTCAATGGCAAGTGATTTGCATCGTAATCTGATTGAAGTGGAGAGAGGTCTATGAAGGGCGCAAACGTCTATGGGTATCTTGGGGGTATAATGGTGATGCTTAGTATGCATCCTCCTCTGGCCGGCTCTTAAGCTTCACATATCCACTTATGCCTTTCTTTCGCGCTGTCTGCTCGCTATGGGAGACATGTCCCGTCTGTGATGGTGAAGACTTTCCGTTCCTCGTAGTCGACGTGAGGTAGCTACGCCCATCGTCGAGGCCGGTGTTACCTCGCCGTTTCTCACCAACAAGAATAGGGTCTTCCGCGATCAAGTTCTCCATGTCTTCCCATTCTTTCTGGTTCAACACGTCCCATTCTTGCGCCTGCTGCTCAGCCAACAGATATCCCCTCAGCTCGTCGATAATCTTAGTTGGCGACAAGCCCCATCCGCTGATGTACTGTGCGTTCTCGGCCATGCCTAGGAAGGAATGCGAAGTAGCGTGTGAAAGCTGCCCAAAGCCTACAGGTGACTTGCGCAGGATCGATCTGGAAGACCTGGAAGTGGTGACATCTTTGTCCAATGGATTCTCGAGGCGTTGGGGATTGTATGTTTCTTGCGTGATCAGTAGTCGGAACAGATTGCGACCGATCGAATAAGTATCCTCCCACTGTTTGAAGCTGTCTTTCATGCCCTGGGTTCGACATAGCCAAGCCACATTGTACGCAAGCAGAGACACGCCTTCAATAAAGGACGAGTATGCAGGAGGATCTTCGGCGCAGAGGTGACTCAAAGGGCGGTCGACGAATAACGCGCGCGGCTTCGGAAGATGGATACGCGTCTCAAGCGTTCGGGACGCTTCCGGACTGGCGCTGGACGAATGTGAGGGTGTCGAGCCAGGGAAAGGTACTTTCTTGCCCTGGTAAGAGGATGCCGGACTGAAGATTGTAGGTTGGGGATAATCGGCATGAGGGAGTGTGATTTCGGCTGGAAGGCGAATGCCCAGGTAGGCAGCGACTCGAACGACGAGCTGGGCCACGGCAGCCAGTGAGGCAGATAGGCCATCAGGCGTCACATCTGTTTCAAAGTTAGCATATCACCTCGACAGGTGCGGTTTAAGACATACCATTCAGATCTCGAAGATCGTATATCCGCAAACGCGTGCCGGGCCCAATATTGTAGACTTCTTTGATACCGCCGTCCCTTGTCTTTCGCCGCTGCATCTTGAGTCCCGCGAGCCTCGCAGCAGTCGTGCACAGCTGCATGCGCAGATCTATGGTATCGTGGTGCATCTTGTCCGCGTTGTAGTCCGATCGCTTGACCCTCTGCTGCACCTTGTCCAACTCGTTCGCCCGCCGCGATTCGATGCCGTATGTGGCGGACGAGAGGTCTGACTTGCGTTGCGCGTTCGCCGCTCGCTTCGCTTCAAGCTGCTTCCTGGTATCTTCCATCTGCCGTCGGAGCTGGTCGGCATGCTCTGATATCATGCCTAGTCGATCCTGTATCTCTGCCGTTTCTGCTTTCGTCCGCTCCCAGTTTAAATTGTTCGTACACTCTTGCCTGTCGACCAAGAGCCCGCCTTTCGAGTCGGTGAGAGAAACATGTTGTATGGCCTTGTCTTCCGAGCCGTTTATGATAGCTGTGACGTGTTTCGCGACGGCATCGCGGTCTATCAGCGTCTTTGCGAGTTGGATGCGGGGTTGTTCGAGGTATGAGCGCGCGCAGGTCATGCAGTGGAGAGGTTGGCTCAGGCTGCCGTCTGTCCCGCAAATGTCGCACTCCATGATGAGTAGAGGTTATGTTATGTGATGTCGCCTGCAGAAATGCCGTGGAGTGGTAGGTCTGGAAGGTGCAGCGAGACCATGGTGGTAGTGATTCGTCGAGGCGGTTGGCGAGTGCCTATGTAGCCATGGGATCCGTCAGTGGGATTTTCGGTGAATGTCTAGGCTCCGTGAGTGTTAGCGCTCTCCTCTGTCGTGAAGCATAAGCAAGGCATCCAGAGGCTGGTGGTTGAAGAGGTTGTGTGATGGAGGCGGTACTCAGGCAGAGGCGCGATTTCGCGAGTCAGACGCTCCTTCCAACGTCATGCCGCGACTGACCAATTCGGATCGCGCTAACGCACGTGGTATACGTGAGTGAACCTCAATCTACTTTTCGAGTACTGCGTTTAATCTGATAAAACTGACATTTCGCGTCGAATATCTTTCTGATGACGATGAGACGCGCTCGCGATCACTCGACTTACCTACAGCACTGACCAAAGGCATTGCAAATGAGCAGGACTCCCGACCACGAACCCGAATCATCCCTCCCCTCTCACATCTCTTCGACATACCCCTCCTCTCCTCCACTACTGACTCAGTTAACAAATACCACCGCAATGGATACTGCCCCGACTGCCAAATCGGAGCCGCCACCCAGTCAAGAGGCTCAGACTGTACGACCGCCAATGAGACGCATGCATTCAGATGAGACAGAGCGGCCATCTTCAGCACAGCGCACGAAAGACGAGGTCAACGACGAAGCAGACGCTGCCGCTGAACAACAGTCGGAAGATGAAGAGAGTGATCCCGCAGAAAAAATTGTCGATTTTGATTGGGAAGACCTAGAGGCGCGGTACCACGATGCGATGAAGACATGCCACAACCAAGAGGACATGCTAATGCAAGAGTGGGACAATCTCATGAATGTATAGCTGCCTCTTCGCTACTTCTGCCCGAGTTACTGATGAAGTTGTTAGTACTTCCGCATCTGGGCCTCGTCAGGAAATGAGCACGAGACCGAGCGGACCTACGCAAGGTAAACATGCCTTTTGAGAGTCGCGTGACCTACTAACAACGTGCCCCAGACTTCGCACACGCTCGACATATGTTCAGCACGAGGAAGCGGAATTGGAGCAAAAGCGAAATCATTGTATGCTGGCCTTTACTTCATTTCATGCTTTTTTGACTAATATGCCGCAGACATCAATGTAGTCAAAGCCTTCGAGAGTGCGCTCAACCTCCTCAAAGCCAGTGGCCTTGGTCGTTGATGCTCATCAACCTAGGCGCTATCTACCTTGCTCATCATCCGCCGCAATCGGAAGTCTCGCAGCGTCTCGCTGGCCCTGATAGCTCATCGCCAACCCCGCGGCAATTGGTGCGGTTGCCCAGCTTTTCAATGTGCACTTCATCTAGGATGCACCTAATGCGCTGTTCCGTCATGTAGGATGCCATCAGTACCGAAGTGGTCATGTTGAGAAGGATCAGTCGCAATGAGCGTAACCCGGTCGATATACATCAGTTGAAAGACATTCATTGCCAGGTGTCTGCTCTATCTAAAACCCTAAATCAACCGCTCAAGATTCTATATCAAATGCACCGCCTTTTGCCGAAGGTCTATACATGGTGCCCGTGCCTTCCATATATGCGCTAAACAATGAGACGCCCATGCCCTTTCATGCGAGTTATTCCAGAAATGGTCCAAATATGGTCCAAGTTTGTGATGGTGATGTTGTGGTGCGTGTTTCGTCTATAGAAGAGGGTTGGAGCGGTACTCGGGGACGACGCCGTTTGTTTGCGACTTCTCAGCCTGGTTCTCCGTCTCGAGCTCGTTGCCGACGCTGTCGTCTTGCTCGGCGAGCCACTTCTCCGCCTCGAGAGCGGCAATGCAGCCAGATCCTGCACTGGTGATGGCCTGGCGGTACCGCTTGTCCTGAACGTCACCGGCCGCGAAGACACCCTCGACGCTTGTAAGACCCTCTCCGGGCTTGGTGATCAGGTAACCGTCCTCGTCCATGTCGAGCTGACCCTTAAACAGCTCGGTGGCGGGGTCGTGGCCGACGGCGTAGAAGAGACCCTTTGCGTCGAGGGTCTGCTCCTCCTTTGTGACGTTGTTCTTGACCACTAGCTGTGTCATCAGACCGTTCTTCTTGTCTTCGCCCTTGATCTCGCTTGCGCTGGTGTTGTACAAGATCTCGATCTTGGGGTGCGTTGTTAACCGGCGGGCGTTCGTTCGGCTCGCGCGGAGCTGGTCCCTTCGTACGAGTACGGTAACCTTTGACGCCTTCTTCGTGAGGTATAGAGCCTCCTCTACTGCCGAGTCACCACCTCCGATGACGACCAATGGCTGGTCGCGGAACATGGGAAGGGAACCGTCGCATACAGCGCATGCAGAGACACCGTTGCCCCAGTACTTGTCTTCGCCCTTGAGATCCAATCTCCTGGCCTTTGCGCCGGTCGCAATGATCAAAGCATCGGCAGTGTGTATTTCCTCCTCGATCTCCTCCTCGTCGCCCATGGGGTGTAACCAGTACTTGAAGGGGCGCGCTTTCAGGTCGACCTTTGCGACGGTCTGGGAGATGATTTCGGTGCCGCAGGCTTCGGATTGTTCGCGCATTTGCTCCTGTATGTTGTTAGTACATGTTGGCGCATGGATATCGCGTGGAGTCACTGACCATGAGCTTGCCGCCTCCGATCTTGACGAAACCGGGGAAGTTCTCGACTTCGTCTGTTGTGGTCAACTGACCACCTGCGGCGATACCGAGAGCCATGAATCCCTCGTACATGACGGCTGCACATGGTTAGCAATGTCACAGGGGTGGTTGCGATGCGGTGTCTTACGGTTCAGATCCGCTCGCGCGGCGTAGATAGCTGCGGTGTGGCCTGCTGGCCCCGAGCTGTGTATGTTAGCATTATTCTCGAAATCGACTCTGTCGCGCCATTGATCGCAGAACATACCCAATGACTGCATGTTGTTAGCACTATCCATGCCAGGGATTTCCAGGATGCCACTTACTGACTAGTTTTGAATGCATGTTTCGCGACTGTACTTTTGCAAAGGTTGAAGCAGTCGAAAGCCCCGCTACAGGTGAGACGCGCTGATTATGCGATGCCGCGGCAGCGATGGGGACGGAGAATAAGGATAGGTTGCGGGGGGAGGAGGCCCTTCGGAAGATTGATGCGAACACTTTGGCGGCGTGTGCGAAAGTTTCGCGTGTCGCGTGCAAGTTGTGGTTGCGGGCGTGTGGGTCGTGTGTGGATGGTGGGATGCGATGTGGAGGTTTAGCAACGGAGTGCGAGCGGTGCAGATGGTGCCTTATGTGGGAGGGACCAGGTGACGGAGAAGGAGCTGGAAAAACGCTTTTGACGTTGCCGCAGCGGGTTTGCGATTAGTGGGCGTCGTCTTCTAGCTTCGGAGGTTCCGCGATATTTGGGGGATGACGGCGAGCCGAGGCGTGGTGGGGTTTTCGAGATGCAGATCGTGCTCAACTATGCGTCGCAGTCAATATATATGCAATGCGGTATGAAAATGAGGATAGCACGTTGGAGAATGAGGAGGAAGAGGGCAAACACACCTTATTTGCAAATACAACACATGTCAGACGTTGGGAGATTTCTGCTTGGAAAGAAAAAAGTCGGCTGCTTGCTGTCGATCTACGCCATCGCCGGCCGGGCTGTCATTCTTAGAAATCGACCTGTACTAGACCCACGTTCCACGCAGCCCACCCATCTTGCCCATCTCGTGTTTAATGTCCGGTGCTGACATGCTTGACTCGAAGCGACTTCTGTATCACGAGCCTCGGCAAAGTTCATCAGGAGCCCCGTCCGAAATGTCGCGACTTCGTCCGGTGCTGAGGCGTAGTCTGGGGGCGACTGTTAGGATGATTACAGTTCATGCACGTTCCGGAGTCGCACGCGTCGCGCTTCACTTTCTGTCTTTGTATATCGGCCCCGCGCTTGGGAGTGAGCACTACGAGTCCATTGCGGGCGTCTAACGCTGCTATCTAATCCTCCGCGCCTGGACGCTTCCTGAGGTTCTCCACATTGTAGAGCATATCCCGGACTGCTTTGTCATCTGCAAGTCGGTCGTCACCACCTTGGTCGAAACTCTTCAATGTCTCTGCGAGCTCTGCATCAGCGTGCCATGTGCCGTCTTGCTGTCTTGCGAAGTATTGCAGTCTTGGTGCCTGTTCGACATGTTAGCTATCGTCCATGAGAAGCTTCTGAGGAAGCTTACCGTGTCTTCCCGAACTTCGGTGGTTGAGCCTGGCTTCTGGATGTTGTCTATGGACACAGCCAACTTCAAAGGACCAGTAGACGTGCGGATGATGGCAAGGTCAAGCGCGTTGCCGTCCAGTGGAATGGCATAGCCTGGTATGGATGCACCTAATCTGAAGCTGAACAGCGCTGGTACTCCCTCGCATGCCACAACAACTGTCTCGGCCTATCAAGAGTCAGATGATGGAGAAACACAGTCAACGTCTTCATAATACTTACACCGTCCTTGTTTAGTAGGTTCCATATCCCCGACACCGCAACTTTGTACATTGCCACATTTACTCCTGCAGGGATCATGCCACGCTCTTGGAGATGCGTGAAGGCAAGATCACGGATGGCCAACTTTTCCTTCAAGAGGTAGTTCTGCCAATCCCATACAAACAAGTGATCGTCGCCACCGCCAGACACAAGTAGGCCAGACTGTGTGAGGCAAAGCCTGCTCACAAATGCTTCGTGGCCGAAGCAGAATCCCTCTATGATGTGCGCTTGCGGTGGGCCTCGTGATATTCTGATGTGCTCGTCCCGGTCTGCAGTCATGACATAGCCCCGTTTGTCTACCTGAGCATAGACGACATCTGTGAGCATAGAAACGTGGCCTAAGAGCAGCTCGTGCTTGAATCGCATAGTCTCCTTGGGCTTCGCCGGGCCTTTCGCTTTCCGTTTCAGCTGCTCCTCAAGAGTCTTTCGATTCCTGCCAGAGTGAACAGTGAGCGTAGTAGCGGAAGGGATCCATTCTTTCTCATCGGCCTCTTCAGTTGCTGGTGCCTCGGGCAACTCTTCTACCTTGTCGTCATCGGGCGAAGGAAGAAGTGGTAATGCATAGACATCGCCAAACTTGTCTGCACACAATATGGTTGTGTCGTCAGACGTGAGGGTAATTGAGCAAGGTCGTCTTGACATGCACCTTGATCATGTCAATTTTCGAACCTTCCAATAATGTGCGCCTCTTACCTTTCACTCAACTGGTGCAGCTGGCTCTGAGCATCGATCTGGAAGACGCGAACACATTTATCTTCGCCAGTGATGCCAACCAAGTATTGTCCATCATTCGAGAGGATGAGACTGGCGAAATTCGATTTTTGCTCTTTCGGTTGTTCCAATTTGATGCGTTTTCCTGGTCGCTCTTCGGAGTCGCCCTCCTGCTGATCCTGCTCATATTAGCGATGCGCAACGACTTCGACCACCAATCCAACGCCACAACATTAACAAATCACACCAAGTACGCCATCACTCACTTCGGTTTGGGCGTCTTGCTGTGGCCATGTCGTCACTGACCCGCGGCTGGATTGAACTACAATCTTGGAGCCGCTCGCAGCAAACACAGTCCAGTCATCTGAAGATTCAGAGCTTCGCGCTACAATGCACTGATACGGAACTGTCATGATGTCTGCGTTGGACACGGCCTCGTGGAGTTGATGGTACTTTTCTGTGAGGCCCCAAATGCGCTAGCGCGTTAGGCGAGCAGGGGCCACCCACAGCAGACAACCTCGATTTTCGCCGGCCGAACTTTCCCTCTCTTCCTCAAACCATCAACACCACCAAACTAAGACCTTAAACATCCCTTTGGGTCGCAGAACACAATGGGGGGCAAGAAAGAAACCAAGGCCGCTTACTTCGAGAAGCTCGAGCAGCTCCTCAAGGAGTACAAGAGCATCTTCATCGTCACCGTCGACAATGTCTCGTCCCAGCAGATGCACGAGATCCGCCAGTCGCTCCGCGGCGAGGGTGTCGTTCTCATGGGAAAGAACACCATGGTCCGCCGTGCTCTGAAGGGTCTCATCAACGACTCTCCCGAGTACGAGCGTCTCCTTCCCCACGTCAAGGGTACGTCTTCCAACTCACGCGACGTTCGCGCACAGCATTGACACCAGTACAGGCAACGTCGGTTTCGTCTTCACCAACGCCGACCTCAAGGAGACCCGTGACAAGATCCTCGCCAACCGTGTCGCTGCTCCCGCTCGTGCCGGTGCCGTCGCCCCCGGCGATGTCTACATTCCCGCCGGAAACACGTAAGAACGCGTCTTGCGCGCACACATCGTACAAGTAATTGACATATCACAGTGGTATGGAACCCGGAAAGACCTCTTTCTTCCAGGCTCTCGGTGTCCCCACCAAGATTGCCCGTGGTACCATCGAAATTACCTCCGACTTGAAGCTCATCGAGGCCGGTAACAAGGTCGGTGCCTCCGAGGCTACCCTGCTCAACTTGTTGAACATCTCGCCCTTCACCTACGGTATGGGTATCTACCAGATCTACGACAACGGCCAGACCTTCGAGGCTTCCGTCCTGGACATTGAGGAGTCCCAGCTGCTCAAGGCTTTCTCCTCTGCCATCAGCACCATTGCCGCCATCTCTCTGGCCTCTGGCTTCCCCACCCTGCCCTCCGTCATGCACTCCGTTGTCAACTCCTACAAGAAGGTCATCTCTGTCGCCATTGAGACCGACTACGAGTGGGAGGAGATCGCCGAGCTCAAGGACCGCATCGCCAACCCCGACAAGTACGCCTCCGCTGGCCCTGCCGTCGGTGCTACCTCCGGTGGTGGTGACGCCCCTGCCGCCAAGGAGGAGGCCAAGGAAGAGGAGAAGGAGGAGTCTGAGGATGACGACATGGGCTTCGGTCTCTTCGACTAAGCTACTCACGTTTGCGATGACATTTCTTGAGAGATATCGGCATGACTACGGTCTGTCGAAGCACGTCTTCATGATATAGACAGTCAACGACAATACGATCAGATGAACTCATTCAGACACCATGCCGTGATGCTCACAAAGCATCTGCGTCAGTACAATCTCAGGTAAGCCTATCCCCTTCTCATCTCGCGCTGCTATGATTATTTTCTTTTTAACCCTGAGATTCCTCGGTGAGGATCAAAATACAACAACAACACTCTAATTTTTTAATGAGCAACCTGTCTTTCAAGTCACTCGTTCGTTACCATGGCAAGGCTCGAGACTGACTTTACAACAGATATACCACTAGCTTGTGCACCTCAACATGCTGTGAAGAGGTGATGCGCACTATCTGACCGCAGCTCAGACAGCCTTTGCAGGTTGACCCGCCCTTTCTAGGTCTATCCGCACCCAAAAGCACCTCCAGAGCGGCTTGCCTCCTAAGCTTCGACAGACGCTCTCACTTTGCGCATTGCCCAAGTATACGTCCGCGTGTGACCATGCGTTACCGTCATCGTCTACTGCTAACCCTGGGGCATACTGTCGAAACAGCTTTGCTGCAACGGCCTTTGCTATGCCCTTTCCTCGATATGCTTCTTCTGTATGTAGCGTAACAAGTGAACCGTCTAAACCGAGGAATGTCCACGCTACTGCTGTGTCTGTCTCTGCGTCAAAAACACCCACACTCTTTAGTGACATGAGTGTCTTCGTTGTCCTTGGAATAGACGTCCTGGCTTTGACGACATCAATATCCTGCTCGCGCATCTCACCCCACCGTAATCCCTTGGGCAGCTCTCGCGTCTCTGGAAGATCAGAAAGCTTGAACAAGAACTTGTTCAGCTCTGCATCAGGGCCTGGAAGCTCGGTGCGTAAGACTCCTACTTCGCGGAGGATCTCGACTACATCGCGGTGGCATGCACCCAAAGTGACTACTTGGGGCATGAGAAGATGTCGCATATATGTTCCTGGTGAAGATTCGTATGCGCCAGACGCTGGTGGGGTCGGATAGTCTTTCTTGTGTTGTTTTGCGAGCTCTAGAGCATGTAGATTATCGGAACGCATTGGTGGAGTAGGAAGTGTAGCCATATATTCTAGTAATGCCAATATCGCCTTCTTGCTCTCTTGACGAAACTCCGGTGTTGCATTCGAGTGATGTGGCTGTTCTGCGCTACTAAAGATCCACGGTTCGGTCTCTGGACGCATAGAGCGGTCGAGGTAGGCTGCTGCCCAGCATTCTGGTATTTCAGTGGCTGATGGAGGGAATGTGGCGAGTATGTGAGCGTGTTCGGTTCGGTTTGGGTGTTGGATTCTGTAGACCAGGTTGACACTGTAGGGTAGGGCGGTTTTCAGGGCCCGCCGTAGGATGGGGGATGAGGCGGGGTGCTCGTGGACTTGCATTTTTGGCTTTTCCAGCAGGAAGGGATGAGATGGTACTGTCGCAAGCGAGGATCACAGCTGAGATGGTAAGAGAGTCAAATATCTTTTGGGTGGGCTTTATTATGACGAAGTCGTCATGTTATGTACCTTCCCTGTTGGGAATAATTGATGACTAAGATCTGTTTCTTCAGGGCGAAGCCTCCCAAGCTTCACCAAGCTTCTTCCGTTCGCATCCTACCACGCTCAAAGCCTCAAGGGAAAAGAGGTACAAAAATTCAAAATGATCGTACTCGCGAATGTTCCAATACTTCCTAATGTAGATCCTCAATTTGACTTCGGAGCCGACTAGCGCCTCCACATCCCCATCAAAGCTATCGCAATCATACCGTATACCAAAGCACAATCTCAAAGACCAAGCCCAACCTAGGACCAGACCGCAGTCTGAGTCAAAGGCGCACTCTATTCTTGCCTCCACATCCCGCTTCGTCTTCTTCGCCAATCTGAGTATCTTGTCAAGCCCACCTGCAATGTACCGGTAATGCCCACAAATCAGCTCTAGACTATCGAGGCTTGGGAAGAACTCCAGTCCTTTGGTCAGACCTTGCTTCAATCCTTGGTTTAAACCCCAATCCTCTTCAACATGAAGACGCACTTTCCGCACGACAGCGAGCCGGGATGCCAGCGAGCGGAGCCAGGTCTGTCGCCCGAGTCGTTCTTCGTACCTAAATGTGTTGAGGCTGAAGGGGAGATAGCGGGTTTCTTCGTAAATCTGGCGGCCTACGAAAAGTAAGGAGAATGTATGTGTTTGTTTACCTGGATGACGCGTGCGGTCGTTTTCGATACCCGGGCCGTATACGTCGTTGTCGGGATGAACGGGGCGGATGTGCGTGACGCAGGGTCGGGGGATCTGGTGGTATTTTGAAGGTGTACGGTCTTTGAGGTGGATTGATCGGTGGCCGAATAGGATGTCGTATATGCGATTTCTGAGTTCGGCGGGGAGACGGAGGAAGGGGGAGGTTTGTTGGTTTTGGGCTGTTCTGGGGTGTGTCAGTGGATAATGTCAGTGTAATTTGAGTCTGTTTCTCTATCCGAGTCGAGGATCGTTCTCGAGGCTTCACCTGCATCTCCAGCGTCTCGTCGCGGGGTGTGGTGTCCAGTAACCCATCGTCTAGTAGGCGTAACGAGTTGTCGGTATGTTTTTCAGGGTTGCGGTATGTGTTTCCAATGTCGGATTCATCAAAAAGCTTTCTAATGTACTTTAGGGCTTTCATGGTCGAGATTGAAGATTACCGGGGAATACGATCTGGTTGAGTAGTTCAGTCGAGACTGGTGTAGTCGTTCAAGGGCATGGGATCTACTGCAAGAGACAGTAGCTGAAGATCCATACTGTGGAGGCAGTGGCAGTGATTTTCTGGATCACGCAATCACATTCTCATATGACGGTGCAGATATATGCTGCCTATGAGTTCCTGACAGCTGCACGGCCACTCACAGCCACAATGTGGGTTACTTTCATTGATTCAGGTCAAGGATTCCATTAGACATGCAGGGTTAGGCAGTGGCTTCGAAGAAGAGAGAGAAACGGTGCACATCGCCGGAAGGAACCGCAGTAGGTTATTTATCCAGCATTGCGTACCAATGGTGCATGTCACACCGCGTTCGATTCGTAATTTGATCCCGAATTCTTCTTCTAGTATTCGCGATTTTGGAAGTACTGTTCCAGGTAGTAATATTTGGTACCTTCTGTTCCTGTTGCTTTCTTGAGCTCTGCCATGCATGCTTCTTTCTGATAGACTTCCAGATTAGGCCATCCATGTTTGTGATATATGGACTGTAAAAACTCTGCAAACCCTTCAGGAATTCGGTCGCGGTCAGTGTATCGCTTTGTCCAGATTTGAACGACGCGATTACTGCTATGTGGGATGAAGTTCAGCTTGATATAGTGGTTCTTCAACATGGCGAAGAAGTGGCGGACCGGCCAGCAGGGTCCCCACTCCACGTCCATCGAGTCATCGTCATCATCATCATCATCGTCATCGTCGTCCTCGAAATCAACAGGCCCATCGTTCTCGTCGTTACTACCGTCGTCGGATGTCGGAGGCGTTTCGTTCTCGCTGGTGTCGTCTGAAGCTTCGACATCATCCTCTTCCTCCTGTACAACAACGACGCTTCTGTCTTGTTCCTCCTTTACTTCCCCCTCCAAAGGATACATCAGACGTGATGGCTGAGGATCGCACGCCTTGATAATCTCCTCCGGGCAGTCCATCCAATATACCAGCCCAGTTCTGACGTCCAACAGCATCACATATTCGCTGATGTTGAGAGCGTACGTAAGACCGACGCAGTATTTGGGAATTATGCCGCCGAACTGGTCTTCATGGCTCTCCGTCTCGATTAGTAGATCTTCTCTCTCTGCGTCCTCCTGCTCCTTCAGCTCGTCCACTGCCTTCGTCCAGGCGTGGAACCGGGTGCCTGGCAAACAGTGCGGCCGTGCTGTGTAAGGCTGGTCATCAGGAAATGGCAGATGGCGTAGCAGATTGATGACTTCTGGATCCTTGCCTAGACGATCCGCGACTTCGGGAGTCATATTGGGCCAACCGCCGGGAGGTGGGTAGATGATGGACGCGGGTACATCCATGAACATCTTTCCCAAGAAGTCATAGAAGTCGCAGATGGCGGCGATGCACTCATCGCGCGAGTAGATTGGCTCCATGGTGATGGATGGGACTTGAGTGGCAGTAATCGAGTTAGTTGACAAGAGAAGCCAAACCACTATATGTATGCAGCCGTGCCGCTTTTATGCAGATGCCAAGCGCGTTGGAACTGTCACGGATGCACTTCATCCAGGGAAAAAACTGTATAGGTCTGGAGCCTACATTGACTTTTGGTTACCGACTTTACATGCGTTTATGTTGATGTAGGCTGCAGACCGCTTCAGCTTGTTCGACTCAACCGATGGTGTTTTTCGATCAGCGGAAAAGACGAAATCCACATGAACCCGCAACGTTCGCCTTTTTGGTCCGTCTCACACCATGAGCTTATCGACATCGTGTTTTGGTATAAATGCAACTGTTTATGAGAGCAAAGAAGAAGGGAAGGAAAGCAGCGTTTTTATAGCTTCATCTTGTGTTCAGCTTTCATGCATACCTTCTGCTCATGTTTTGTGATCCTCTGGAGAAGGGGAGCGGAAATCCATGTACTGATGTCCTGTTGTTTTGAATCCACCCGCAGCCTTTTGTGATGCGGATGTAGTAGCTTTTAAGGCCAGCGACGGAGACAGGAACATTCATGAGCCTGACGAATTTTTCAGTCTTCAGACATGAATAGGCTTTCCTAGTTTTTTGATAATAGATTGAGTGAAAGAATGAGAAGGATGAAGGACGCACGAGGCCGGCGACTTTTATAATTTCCAAGGGAAACTTGACTGCTCCATGTCTCCTGAACCTGTACTTTTGAGACAGCAGAGGGAAGACTCATAGCAAGAGCGAGCGTTTGCTTTTGATTCAAGCGAGCAGAGCATCGATCGACCTGGATTTCGAAGCAGAGGCGCAAAGACGCACATGGCCCAACTTGCGGAAAGCTTTGGAAAAACTCATGGGTTCCAGTAGGACTACTTTGGAAGCAAAGCCTCGGCGAAGGTAGTTGGAAGGAAGAAGCTCCAGCTCAATGGCTGTAGGTCTTATACGCTCGCGAGGCCCAGGAGCTCGAACCAGACAGCATAGAATACTGCATGACAGTTTTCTAGCGAACAACTGCAAAGCCATAGGAATGATCGTTTGCTTCTTTCTGACTAGAAGGACGAACATGCTGGGTTCCGTTGCCCGTTTCGAGAAGACGAGCAAAGCCAACATGCATATTGCTAACTTGTTTCTAGAACACACCCAGAACAGAGACATGCGTAAATGCTGGTATAGTTTTGTGACATAGCCAGAGTATATCTTCATTTCGGGAAATGAGGAACATGTCATTGCAAATGATGTTCGAAGTTTTGGTAACACTCAGCAGGCAACTCGACGAGACATGAACAGAATCAGCACGAGTTTGGAGTTTCGCTGTACAAGTGTAACCATGAATATATCTTCCAGATTATTTTGGACTTTTCGAGGAATAGACCGACACGGTCATAGGAAGCTCTCGCGTTGGTATTGAATCGAGAGGAAGGCGCGGCCAGCAGCGCACACATGTAGAACTCTTGTTTTCGTTTTGAGAGCAGAGTCATGCCCTGCCCATGATATCTTTTTGGGGGTAGAAGAGTTTTTGGTAATTGTTGAAAGAAGAGAAGCAAGATGCGAGACAGAGAGCGGTTTATATAGTGCAGAGCTGCTAGCGCGTGGTCACCACATGCTCCAAAAACGGAGGTTACGCAGAGCGATGATGGTGGTGATAAAGTAATGATGATGGTCATTATCATAGGTATCTTCCCGTCTACGTACCCACTTGCGAAGTCGCAGCTCATAGCTCATCTCTCTTCCGCCTTTGTCCACTTCCTTCCTGTTGTGCCGGTGTTTCCTGCGCCTGCGCCTCCTCACGCTTCGCACTCTCCACATCCTCCTCCCACATCTTCTTCTTTGGATTTCTCGGCTTATCGCTCTCCTGCAACACAGTCCCGTCGCCCAGTGTGACCGGTCCTTCGTCTTCATCCTTCCTCGGTTGTCTGAATTGAGGGTGGTCGGGCACCTCTTCTTGCTGCTGTTGTTGGTTTTGTTCCGCCATCTTGCCTACTTGTTGCGAGTATGAGCCTTGTGGACTAGGATCCTGGCCTTGTCGATTCACTCCGCCTCCGCGACCGACAGGTATGTAGTGTCCTTGGGCGTTAGGTTCGCGTCGGGGTATGCCACCTGTTGCGCTAGGTTGGACGATGAGGGTTCTTGAGGACGAGGATACCGCGACGCTCGAGGATGCGGCTGAGGATGCGGCGCCGAAGGGTAGGACGGCGAAAAGGATGCGAAAGGTAAGTTTGACTGGCCAGATGATGAACCAGGTGAGCGGTCCGTATAGCCAGCGACGGAATACAAGCCAGATGATAGTTGTTATGAGGATGTAGAAGGTGGTCTCAAGATACCACGTGTCGCTCTTTGTGCTCTTCAGGAGTGTCGAAACCAAGTTCTTGCTGTTGGCTAGTAGGGTGTTCAGATCTGAGTACTGCTCCCCAAGGTCTTGTAGTGCGGCGTTGGTCTGTTCGAGTGTTTCTTGTGCGAATCGTGAGCGTGATAGCTCGTCTTTCATCAACTGGGCTGTCCGGCGCAGAGCAGATGTGACGTCTGAGGAGGCTTGCGCGACGACTTCGCCTTCCGATAGCCCTTGTTGTTGCTTTCTCTGGCGATATGTGGAAGATGGGGTGGAGGAGCCTGATTGTAGGTTGGAGAAGAGGAGTTCGCGTTCTTTGAGCTTTGCGCGGTCGGCGTTGTGCTTGGCTGTGAGTTGCGCTTTCCGATATTGTGATCGCGATCTGCAGGAACGTAGGGTTAGCATGCCATGCTGAAGGAAATGACAAGGAAGAGTGTGCATCACTCACAACTTCAGGTCCTCGGTCAATCTCGCAAGTAGCACAGCAAGTCTACTCCTCTCGCTGTCCTTGCTGCTATCCCGTCTTCTTCCTGTAATGCCTCCTTGTGATGTAACGTCCTCGACCTCTTGCCTCAGAAGTTCAAGTTCCTCCTCTATGCCCTTCAGAGTCTCGTGTATCTCGGCACTGAGTTCCAACCTTACGTCGCCTTCGTCAGAATTGTCGAGAGGCTGCGAGCCTGGCTGAAAATCTAGCTTGGCTAGTCGTTGGATGAGTTGGCCGACACCTTTGTTGGCTTCGGAAAGGGCGCTTAGGCGGGTGGTGAGAGTGTGCGTGGTGGAGGGGAGAGGTGCCATGGTGGCTCGGAATGCGGAGAGAGTTTGGTCGATGTATGTAGATGGCCTATGACGGAGATGGCTACGGTGGGCCGTTTGGCGGGGTGTGAGAGCGCAGCGTGTCTGGACGGCTAGCCGTAGCGTGGCCCGCAGAGAATCTTGAGCACAGACATATCGCGAAGAGGTTGCGACGAGCGTGGGACGTCAATTGCAGCGCATTCCCGAATCACCGCCTATTGGTAAGTAGTCGCATCGGTTCATCATGCGTATCCTCTAACAAGCCATAGTCTGCATCGCCAACCCCTCCGTGCTCCACCGCCGCAATGATCACCAGATTCCTGACCGACGTCCGCGTTACCTTCAATCCCTTCTCCCCGCGCTCCAAGCCCGCCCGCCTCTTCCTCTCCCTAATACCACCGAATGCACGTGCAGATGGCATGAAGATTGAGTCCAAGATGCTGCCACGAGACAGCAAAGAGCCTGCCAGTTTGGGCGTCAAGTTCAGTACGTAGACTTTCGGTGCACCTTGAGCAAACGCTAACATCCGCGTAGAGGATGGCAAGGAGATGAACCTCGACCTCAGCAACATGCGCATAACACAAGTCGTCGAGGAAGTGGATAGACATTCAAGGTCACTGGCGCGTAAGGACGAGTTGGCAGGCAACTGAGCGTTGAGCATAAGGACATGAATGTACATATATATCAAGACACAGAGCATCGGTCGGCGTCACGGCAATATTCTGGGTTGGGCTGAGACGAGGCATTGATGATATTCCTCATGGGTCCATATACCGTCGTTGGTCGGCGTTAATCATGCACGTTTATCTATCATCTGCAGTCATTCCCATGCTCCAATGATATCCAGACTTTTGTGGTCATCACGGCTCCCGTTATATCTAGTTGGACGGGGCACCGGAGATGTAGAACCACTTGTCGATGCTGCCATCGATGGGGGCAGGTGCCTTGTTCTCGCCCTGGGGAACGTTGAGGGAGCTGGCATCGGTGCGGTCGGGAGAGTGCGAGACGGTGGTGTTGGTGCTAGAGCTTCGTCAGTACAAGTCATTCAGGGTAGGCTGGCCACTACTCACAGGCTGATCTCGTCCTTGGGGGTCTTGCCAGTGACAAGCTTCTCCCAGGCCTCGGCACACTCGCGGACAATGTCCATGGCGTACTTCTTGTTCTTGCACTCGCCGGAGAAGGCGAACTGGTTCTCGGGCTTGCCGTCTGGGATCTTGTAGATACGGAACCACTCGTTTGTGGCGCGGAGAAGGCCGGGCAGGTGGCGCTCGACGTCCTCGACATCGTTGAGCTTGGGGGCCAACGGGTCGTTGACGTTGATGACCATGATCTTCCAGTCGGTCTCGCCCTCGTCGAGCAGAGCCATGACACCGAGGACCTTGACCTGGATGACCTCACCGGGCTTGGCAACAAGCTCGCCAATCTCGCAGACGTCCAATGGGTCGTTGTCACCCTTGGCCTTGGTCTCCTGGTGGACAACGTTGGGGTCCTCCCAAGTCTGCACAGCATCAGCATTGGTGTATTGTCCGATATCGGGGTCGCGTCAGCATACCTGAGGGAAGGCACCGTAGTTCCACAGGTAGCCCTTGTGGGGGAAGCAGTTGCGCACGAAGCGGAGCTTGCCCTTCTTGGTGTCCTGCTTGATGGGGTTGAGCTGCTCCTCCTTGGAGATCTGTAGCGACAGTCAGCGTCTTTCGTTTCGCGCAGCCGTACGCAGGCCACGGCGCAACCAATTGGGGCCGACGCACCTCCATCTTCGCGTTGGTCCAGCGGGGCACCTCAACAACCATGTTGAGGATGGTCTGCTGCTCGTTGGCGTAGAGCGGGATGTCGTGCCATGGCGAGACGAGCTGGCCGTCTTTCTCGATGTAGACGCGGTGCTCGAGGGTGTTGGCAGCGCCAACCTTGCGGGTGGTGTAAGACATGGTGGATGGGGTCTTCGTGGCAGCTGTGTGGATGGCTGTGGAAGAAGAAGCTGTGGAGTTGAGATGGCCTGCAAGTAGACGAGCCCTAGAGTTGATTTTGTCGTTGAGGGGTCTACTAGTGGGGCTCGCAGGCGGGGAGCTGTGTTGGGAAGGCGCCACTGTGACAAACGTCACCGCCGACTGTCTGCATGGGACAGCCGTCGCGGTAGGGAAGGGGGGCTTCGACCGGGTGATCAATCTCTGGGCGGGACAGAGCCGCAACAACGATTGATGGATGAGCATGCAGATGGCACCCGTTTAGTAAACTACCAGATGGAAGCGCAGCCGATTCTCCTCTCATGCGAAGCCCAGACCGAGGATCAGAAAACGTCCGCAAGGTACGGGAGCGGAGACCGGAAGCTCCAACTTTTTATGCACGGACACCGAGGCAGCTTGTCGCTATCGATTTCTGAGCTTCGTCAAATTGCCATGAATCAGATTGCAGTCACATGTCTTTCCTCATCATTTGAGCTTCCTGTGATAACTGCAGGCTTCACGTCTCGCTATTCAGGACCTCTTCTAATCACGAAAAAAGAAAGTTGCCGCTAACGCGCTATGTGGCTGCCAGCCAGCCACCCACCTCAACATCAGTACAACTTATTCGGCCGCCAAAATCCAGGAGCCACCGTATCGTTTTCTGGTCTCGAATCCTGGACCAGCTCAATTTCAGTTCCGGGGTGTGCTTCGATACCGCCGTATATGTCAGGATCACCATCAAGGCTATACGACAGGGGCTCTTCTAAAAGCCCTCCCCAGTTCTCGTCATCATGCTCCGTTCCGTCATCGTATTCCATTTGACTTCCTTGGTCTTGATAGTTTTCTTCGAAATGGTATGGACCTTGGAAAGGTTCTTCTTCGCGATCCCATTGCATATGAAATCGCTGACGCTGTGCTTGTTGTTCGTAGATGCTCGGGCCAGCAAAATTTGGCATCACCGGTCTATCATGAGACTGATCCGCGAAGCGTACAGTGGGACCCTGCTGAGCTGCATGATAAGTGTCTCTCGTACTCTGCCGCAGGTTCGACTGTGGATACGATGGGTGCGTCTCCTCGGTGCGTCTCCTCCGCGACCCTGTGGCCAGACGTCGTTCGTGGAAGGTATCGTTGCAATGCCGCAAAGCCACCCCCAAGTCAGAAGATGTCGGTAATCTTCCTTCTCCAGCAGGACTGTATTCGCTATGCGGGTTTTCCTGTCCATACCCGGACGGAGCAGTCATCCCCGAGACTGAAGCCGAGTCTGATCGATTATTCTTCGAGGAGCTGGGTAGCTGAGTGCGATGCGTGCCCATAGCATGTTTGGGCGCAGACGGTGGCATTGACGATGGCGAATGAACATTGTCAGGCGCGCGTGCGTTCGCAGATCGATCGACGAGGTTCGGTCGTCGCGGGGATGAAGTGTGCTGCGGGAAGGACTGCGATCTCGACGCTCTGCCATGTGATGGAGCCAAAGACGAAACCCTGAAGCGCTCGACAGGCGTGCTATCTGTTCTTTGCTTCGTCACTGGAGGAGGCCGGGCTGGTAGTTTGAAGCTATTACTCTCATTTGCATTTTTGGTTTCGAACTCACCATGAAGGTCTAGGTCGCGCGAACTGGTACGTATGTGAGATATGTGAGGGCGTGCTGGCGCCGTGCTAGGCGCTCGAATTGACTCTGACCAGGAAACGTAGCTATTACTTTCATGGCGAGGGCCTCTACCTCCAAAACCTAGATACAAGGCTTGGCCTGTAGCCTCAACAGTTGGGATAGCAGTGTCATCTACCGAGGATTGATCACGACGACGCCGCTTAGCTTTTGGTACAGGAAGCTGCGGTAGAGTGTTTGTGTCCTTGTCAACTAATGCCGGTCGTGCTGAGGTAAAGAAAGCGGAGATCTCTCCTTCCTTCATCTGTTCATTGTCCTTCTTGCGTTTCTTTTTGGACGCGTCGGTTCGAGGGACAGGCTCTGGTTCGTCTTTGTGCTGCTGCAAGAACTTCATTTCCGAGAAGACCAGATCGGGCACTGCGACAGGTCAGCTGGGTAATGCGGGGAAGACGTACAGGAAGATATCATTCAGGCTGTAGTAAGGGTGATGAATTACTCACATCCGCGACCCTTGATTGCAGTAGATGTTCGTCCCTTGTTGAAGAGGCCTAGCTGCTCCCGTGGCTTCAACTAGTCCAATCGTCAACACTCTACTGTATGCTCCAGGCGACCGCATAGACATCTTACGGTCAGCCGATCCCCAGATACGTTTGTGGCCTGGAAGGTCTGCATGACACCAGGTGCCTTCTCGCCGTTCTTGCGTCGAGGCTTGCGTCGCGACTTCTTTGATTTGTCCTTACGATCGCGATGGGCATGGGGACCTGGCGGATACTGTGGCTCATACCGCTCTGGACGCGTCTTTCTACGAGGTTTGCGCGCATATCGACTGCTGCTAGAGCTGTCGCTGCATGTCGCCTGGAGCGCCTCGTCAGCACTATCCTCCGCTGGCTTATGCGGAGAGGATGCAAGTGGACGGGGATCGAGGAGGGAGCTGTCTGATCTGCGGCGGCGCTTCCGTTTAGCAGGCTCTGCGGTCTGATGAAGGTTATTGGGCTCGCGCGGTGCTTCCGGTTGCACTGTCTCGTCTAGCCACTTTCGTATGTCCATGCTGTCCTGCATCCTAGACGAGCCGTGCCGTTAACGGAGTCTGGTTCGCCTCGCAAGTCTGGTGGGTCTGAGATGCTCGAGGGGGCCTGACAGCAGATCGTCGTGATAGTCGCTCAGTTGCTTGTGTGACGGTAATCTGGGAGACGTTCAAGGTGACAAGGTCTCATCTGGATGTTGCAGCTACCTGATAGGCTACGTCAGACAGCCAGACAGAGGATATGGCAGGTGCAATGGGTGCTGCCATTGTGAGGCTGCCGGCATCGCCGAAGCCACTGCATTGCTGGAGGAAGGCACGATGCATTGATGACGCCAGTGCATCGTCAACCCTTCAACCTTCACGGTGTGGAAATGAGGCCATGTTTTTCGTGTGTGTGTTCCTCTCCTTACTTCTATTCGGGCTGCAAGATGCTCATATCATTGGATGGATGGTATTGCCATATAATCGGTCCCCGAGAGCGAGACGTCTTGGCACCGTGCATCGTGCTGCCGCATGCGCTGTGCCGCTATCGCAGGGAAATGGCTGCGATGGCTTCTCGTCGCCGACTTGCTTGGAGATACGCAGAATGAACACAGATGGATCGGTTCAGTCCGCGCTGCCTCGGTATATCTCGGTAAACACTGCCGATTTGCCCGCTTTCTGTATCCGATGGTGACGACTGTGTAGTATGTGATTTGATGGGACATTCTGGCCTGTCTCAGCGCAATGGACTTCGGTCGTATAAGTGCGAGCAGTCGTCTCATTAAGCACGCTCAGCTTGCTACATCTTGACGTCGCGCGCACGAGCCAGTTCGGGATGCAGAGCCCTGGAGGGCCTGGAAGTTAGCTAGGCCCGATCCCCACACCGTCAGACTAAGGATGGCGACTCTGATAAGCTTCTTTGAACCACCATCGTCTGTCCAATACCTGTCCGCCATTGACCTTTTCGTCACAGCCCGATAGTCTTGCTGTAGCCACGGGCGCAGATCGCTGCTGTCTCGAGCACGCAATCTGTCTATCCGCAGGCTTGTCCATGCACGTATTTCGCAGTGGCCCAATGACGCCGCCGCACTCCTGCCGGCACTCTGAGCAGGACGATGGATCGATGCACCTATCAAAAAAATCGTTTTCTCTGGCTCGTCAAGGGCCCTGCAATTGGGCCTCCCCGGTCTCAGGCTAACGTGGGCTGCATATACCCAGCATGAACAGACAGACACGGGACAGGCTAGGAAGCCAGCCAGCCGACATGTATGGCAGAACCAGTATCTGCACCCTGTCCATCGTCAGGTGCGGGCTCCTAGACAAGGCATTGGGACCGGCTAGCTGCGAGGGGCCAGTTCCGTTTGCCTGCCTGCAGCCCAGGTCCGAACTACCAGACCCCTTGGCTTGACTGGCTCGACTGGCTGGAGAGACACATTGCACCCCGTCGCTCGTGGCCATCCACGTCGCTTTATAAACCGGGCCCTCAGCCCTCCAGTCCGTGCGCGCAACCTATTACTTGCTTGCAGCCTAGCGCTCTTTCACCTGGTGGAGGGGTACTCATATCGTCGCTTGCCCCGCCAACCTAGACGCTTCACTATCTCTGCTCCTCACCCTGTGCCATCACTTTCTTGCGACAGCCTGCAGCCGACTCTCCCTCCTCTAACTCTTCAGAGCAATCGCTTGCGCCATCATCACCAATACAGCCTGGTGCTACAAGATCAAATGTTCGTTCCGTCACGTTGCTACATACTGCCTGCCCGGGAAGCCGCGATGGATTCCTCGCCTTCCTGCACTTTTCCTTCACTCTACAACTCCTGTCACTACCTGTCTTGAGCTTCTTTGTATCGCGCGCCTTGTTTCGAGTTGCGAGAGCTAGTATTGAGACCGTTCAGTGTTCGACCCAGACATCACTCTCACCATGTCTAAGCTCTTCATTGGGTAAGTACGCAGCCTTTCCATACCGCGACCGCGACTGACCCTTCACAGAGGCCTCGCATGGCACACCGACGACCAAGCTCTCCGTCAAAAGTTCGAGGAGTTCGGTCAAGTCGAAGAAGCCGTAAGTGACACGCTACTCGACGAATGTCGTCGCCAAGGTCGAGTCAATGCTCACATCGTCACAGGTCGTGGTTAAGGACCGCGATACTGGCCGCAGCCGAGGCTTTGGCTTTGTTCGCTATGCCCAGGACACCGAGGCCGATGCCGCTATGCAGGCCATGAACAACGAGGAGTACGTCTCTTCTGCCTTCACGTACCATCCAACAGTGGGCATTGCTGACTCTCCCAGATTCGACGGACGTAGGATTCGCGTCGACAAGGCCTCCGACCGCGCTGGCGGTGGTGCTCCTCGCGGCGGCGGCTACGGAGGCGGTGGCGGCGGATACCGTGGAGGTTACGGCGGTGGTCAAGGAGGAGGTAAGCTTCACTCAGCCTACCTATCGCGGTTCTATACTAACTATATCCCCAGGTTACGGTGGCGGCGACCGTGGTAAGCACATGTCACCGTTCTATTCACAGTGAGAAACTAACTTGATAAAAAGGCTACGGCGGCGGCGGCCAGGGCGGCGGCTCTTGGGGACCTTCTCAAGGCGGCGGCGGCGGCGGATACCAGTCTCGCGGCGGCTACGGTGGCGGTCAGGGCGGCGGCCAGGGCGGTTACGGTGGTGGTCAAGAGGGTGGCCAAGGTGGTGGCCAGCAGTGGTAAACACCTCGGCGGACCCACGTCCTACAGTCCTGTGCTCTCAGAATGACCAAAGGTACGAACTTTCTAGTTGAGGGCAAGAACGCTCCTGGGATTGGAGCTGGCTTTACACGATGGAGATCTTTTGGACGTTAGCCGACACTGCTCCTCCTCGAATGAGCATCATCATTCACATGGACGTTTCATATCATGTTTAATGGCAGTAGAGGTGGTTGGTACTGAGAGATGAGATACCCATTGAATCAGGAGGTGCTGCTACTCTGTACTTGTCGCGCTATGAGGGTTTCCGTTCTTTGTGCACTTTCCTTACGGGCTCTTCGTAGTCATGGTGGCTTGCTACCTACCCAAAAGCTGTGTCATTCCAATGTAACCTTGAACTCTACCAACAGACATGTCAGCAAAAAGCAGATTACACCGCATTCCAAAAGCAAGCATGCTCACTCACATTCGCCTCGCAAACAGGTACAACAGCCGGATCGGTGCGTTCTGCCTGAGGATCAATGAGATCACATTACCGCTGTTGCGATGAGGCTCTGCGGTCTCTAACGGGTCCCTCCACAAGACGCAGGTTCGTGGCGATGCCAATTCTCCTCACCACCCAACACATGAGATAATCTCGACGGCACCTAACCCATTACTTAATCGCACGCACTAGTCTCGCTTTCTGCACATGGAAAATTCAGCAGCCAAGGCAGCGCATTGTGACCACATCTGCATATTGCATACATAGCCGCCGGCCAGTCCTGCTGCAGCTGCAGCACCAACGCAGAGTAGAAAGGCAGGTTTCTGCAAGCGATAGCTGGGCTGTCTGCGGGGAGTCAGGCGCACTCCATGCTGCGTTTTGTATAGTCCTCGCGCACACACTTCCGCATCCTCGAGTGCTTTGCTGCTGCCTGAGGTGATCTTCACTTTTGGCGTCAGGCGCCAGGATGCGACGTCGAATGTCTTGGGCTGAGGATGCACGCTGACAGACGACCCCTCCACACCCGTCTTCTACTATTCAACGACTCGCGGATATCCAATACTTCATCGCATTCATTTTGCTTGTTCTTCAGCCGGCTGGAACGACTTCGAGTACATCATGAAGAGTTGGAACGGGCTGGAGGATGCGACGGCGCCGGTCAAGCCTGGACGGACCCCGACGCGGTGGCGCGCACTGCTTTCTGCGACCTTCGTCACACTCGTGTGCCTCGCGGCAGTGGATACCATCTTCCCTGAATTGAAGAACTGGGATCTGTCCTCATTTCTAGACATTGAGCCTGCGTTGCATGATGCCGCCTTTGAGTGGTCCGAGGTATGTTGAGAGAGTGTTCCCTGAGCGTCGCACCGCACACGTGGTTCTGCAGCCACCCTGGCCCGCATCTTATCAGATCGAATGATAGCCTCGATCCAAGTCGCACAGCAGGTGGTTACTCTACTTCCGGGAGATGTCTTGGGCGCATGCCGGAGCACCACAGACGACCTTCGTCATCAAAAGGCTCAATGAAAAATCTGATTGTGATTGGTGGCCTGACCAGATCCCATTCCGGCTCACCAGCATGTCGCTCTAGCCAAAGTCCCAGCACCGTATCAACAATAAGCGAACCGCAGCTCTCTATAAATTAGTCCAAGAGGGTGCTTCAGCATCATAATATCGACTGGTGGATGCAAGACTGACCAAGCTCCAGATCACACCGAGTGAGCATCTAGAATTCCACAAATGCTTTGGCCAATTTGAATGCGCAAAACTGAGCCTGCCACTGGACTACTTCAACGGGACCTACCCTGATCATACTGTGAGCATCGCTATCGTCAAGCTACGCGCCAAAGTATCCGTAGATGATCCCCGGTATGGTGGCCCGGTCTTGTTCAACCCTGGCGGGCCCGGAGGATCAGGTACATCAGTTGCGCTCTTCTTAGCAGGAGGGCTACAACAGATCATAGACTCTAACGTTGAGACTTTCACCCCATCGCCTGACGCAAGATACTTCGACATCATCGGCTTCGACCCTCGTGGAATTGGTTGGACAGAGCCAGTCGCTCGATGCATGCCAGATCAGCCTTCTTCGTGGTCTTGGAGCTTGAGGGAAGAGACCGAGGGCCTTGTTGGAAGCTCGGATGCAGCTCTTGGCAGACTCTGGTCTATGCAACATGCCTTTGGTGCATCTTGTAAGCTTGCCGAAGAGAAACAAGAGGGACCGGATATCAAGCAGTACATGTCTACTGCATTCGTTGCCAGAGATATGTTGGAGATCACCGAGAGGCATGCCGAATATGTGGCGAAAGAGGTCGCTCAGAAAGCTGCACAGAGGGCTGGCAAACGTATTGGAAGCCACGGCTCCACGTACGCTCCTGGAGAGAGTAAGCTGCAGTACTTGGGCTTTTCTTACGGGACTTTCCTCGGATCTACATTCGCGTCCATGTTCCCGGACCGTGTTGGACGTATCATTCTCGATGGAGTCGTGAGTTCGTACGACTACACCCACTCGATGGGTAACGGAAGTCTTGTAGACGTCGAAAAGGCCATGACTTCTTTCTATACATTCTGCCACAATGTGGGTCCCAATAGATGTCCTCTAGCTACCGCCAACTCAAGTGTTCTCGACATAGAGGAGCGCACGCAAAACATTATCGCATCGCTATACCACAATCCGCTTCCCATTGTCTCGGCAGAAGGCCCAGAACTCCTCACTTGGTCCACCATCAAATTAATTCTCTTCAGCGCTACCTACCAGCCGCGTCTCACATTCGAGTTTGTAGCCGCCAGCCTGTTCGCCATTGAACAAGGAGTTGGTAGGGAAATCAACGAGATCGCCGAAACCTTGCGCTACAACCACGTATTCTCTTGCCCTGTCGACGGCATCGAACCACTCGAACAGCCAAGTTCCCCTGTTTCCACGACAGCCATCCTATGCAGCGACGGAATTGATCAAACCCATCTGACTAAAGAAGAATTCGCCGCATACTGGGATATCATGGACGAAGTTTCGCCAAACTTTGGTTCCTACTGGTCCATGCTACTGATGCAATGTGCATCTTGGAAGATCAAAGCCAGCTACAAGTTTGATGGTCCTTGGGGGGCTAATACATCACACCCTATTCTCTTCATCAGCAACACGGCGGACCCGGTTACACCTCTTCGCAGCGGACGCTATATGCATAGTTTATTCCCTGGAAGCAGCCTTATGATTGGCGATCATGCAGGACATTGTTCGATGTCGGCACCCGACCCGTGCATCTTGAGTCGCGTGAACACGTACTTTCAGACGGGTGAGCTGCCCTCTCCAGGGACGGTGTGTGTGCCGCCGCCTAGCGAGTACAGTCTCAACTCCACGGATCCAGATAGTCCTTTCTACGACCCTACTTTGGGGAGTGCGAAAGTGGCTGCTATGCAGGAGGATGATGAGACTTGGGTGCGGCTACACGATGCTGGTCAGTCGTTACGGAGGCAGGCTGTTGCGAGTGGTATGTTTGACATGAACCTTCCGGGTGGTTCAAGGGCAAAGCGCGTTATGCAAAACATGTTGAAGCGTCACTATTAGGCTGGGAGTAGGTATGGTTGTATGTAGATGCTTTTCATTTCTATCTCGAAGTCCCAAGTGACTCGTGTGGATATGGCTCATCCTTGGTCTAGCACACGGCAACTAAACTTCGGCGTCACACACATCAGTCTGTATCCAAAACGAAATTATCAAAGAAGAAGTTACCCTACTCTTCATGATTAACCCCCATTCCGATATTCCTTCTCCAGATACTCCACCCAGAGGTCTTGGTTTCCCACTTGTTTCCGGAATTCCTTCGTATACCAGTCATCAGCACCGGTCACTTGATACGGTGCCTCCGAAATAATCAGTGTTTCCAGTGCAGGAAATATCCGCAATGTACGCATGTTCTGTTCGATAGGCTCGCGGAGTCCCATGGCTGGATCTTCAGATTGAAAGGCGTCCCAATCAATATCGATATGCCTAATCAACCTTAGCTGTAACGGCGTACACCGCTTCCGGAGTTTTGAGAGGTCGGATAGGTCGAACTCGCGATGTATGAAGCGTGCAACAGGGTAGATGTGTATTGCGAAGTAGGCATGTGCGGTTTCGGCGAAGATTTGTCGTGATGCACGGGATAACTCGAGGCGGTCCCAGTAGAAATGGGAGTCATGTTTCCAACTCCTTGCGCTGAGCTCAAGAGCTAGATCGAATATCTTGTTGCGGATCTCAGCTGGCAGGCGCAAGAGAGGGGAATGAAGTTGATTGCGCTGGGCACTGTTGGCGGTCAGCATTTCACACTCAGCTGCGCACTACTTTTAGTGAGGTATGAAACTAACGTTGCGAGACAATCTGCGCTGGGTACGAGAGTGGGTGGTCCTTTGCATTTGTTCATTTCGAAAGACGTGCAGGCTGGCAGGGTGTGAGTTGGGAGGTAGGAGTTTCAGATCAGTCGAATTGGAGTGAGGTTGTTGAGGAAATTAAGAGCGTAGGTTGAAGAGGTGGTTGAGATTCACACATGATATACGGCAATGTGAGTCACGCCGCTAGTGCATGGAATACCAGTCAGGCATGATAAGTCAAACCATAGATTACTTTCTTTCGTCATATTATTCGTTCTCCCGTGTCCACGTTATCAGCACTACCTTTGAGTCAGCCGTAGCAGGATCGAATTTGGTTCGCCTATCCTCCGCGACCAGACTTCACGAACCCACACGCAGAAATCGACGCATTGGCATCACTTGTCAGCATCCATCCCAAAGCACCAGATACACTCTTTATCTTGCTGGGTCTCGATGGCTATGCGTCCGGGACCCATTGCGGAGTGCTCAAGTCCTCATGCATGGTGTACGTGAACTTTAACCGCGGATTCTCCATCCAACCCCTAAGCCGGATTTCACACCAAAGTCGAGGTCTCGTCTCTTCGGGTGCCCCGGAAATATGTAACCGCCTCAGCCCGCTGTGCGCAAATGGACAGTATTTGCCTGGTTTTAGGCCCACTGCGTGATACCAGCTAAAAGCAAGGGCCCCCAGCATACGGAATTGAGATGGTGTGATCGGCAGTACGAGGCCTGACCTACGCGGCGGGAGTTTTACCACTGACAATGTAGCGTAGTGATATGGGAGGAGTCTCAGTTCGAAGTACGCCGCGGCGGTCTCAGCGAAGACCTCGCGCGAGGATCGAACAAAGAACATACGATCCCAAAAGTAGAGTTCTTCGTGATGCCACCGCCATATTTCCGTAGGGACGAGTTCAAGCGTGTAGGCGTATATCTTGTTACGAACCTCAGCTGGTAATCGCAGAAGAGGTGACTGGATTCGATTCCGTTGAGCACTGTTGACTGTTAGCACCTGTGTTCGTAGATAGTGAGGTCATGCGTGAGCAGAGTCCTATTCAATGAAATTATACTTACATTGCGAGGCACTCTGCGTTAGGTACGAGAGTAGGCGGGCCTTTGACGTTGGGTGTGATGATGGGCGGTGCAACACCGTTGTTTACATCGGCGTGATGGCGACGGGCCAACGTTGGGTCAAAGGGTTGAAGATTGAGGAACGACATTCTGACTGCGGAAAATGTTGAAGGTGCAAGGTGACGGAAAGGTCAGGGGAAAAGCTCTGGATGTGAAGGCGCTAGTACTTTATCGGCTAGTCACGCATGATGAGGTTCTTAGGTATGTAGCACAACGCACCGCTCAATCTCGCACGTCCACAGTCCGCTATTTTGTATTCACTATATATTGTTCAAGGGGCTACTGTAAGTCATACACGAGGGTCTACCGCTGTAGAAATGACCAGTATTTGTACGTGTTCGAGCTCGCCTCAGGAGGCAAGTACTGACTGAAAACTGCTTCACCCAACAGGCGGTTGGATATACCCGCGCTGTGTGGAGCAGACTTCCAGCCACTTCACCCAAGGAGAAGTCTAAACAGGTTTGCAGCCTATATCAAGATAAAACCATACAATGTGGACCTCGGGATGATCTAATGTCCACGTAGGCTCAAGAGTGTCTAGTTTCTTGTTCTTTCTAGATGAGGTGCAGTAGAAAAGGCTCACTAGCTGGTAACCAGCACTTGCCAAACGAAAACAAATTTAAGCTAACAGCGTACTTACAGCCATGCAACACAGCGCTCACCTTCCCTAAAGCTCCCTCATACTAGTGACCACCTTCCTCGCACTATGCTTCTTCCCCGCTACTCGAGCCCTTACCCTTCGCTTCACATACTGCTCCCAAACCGCTTTACCGGCAAGACCTAACAAGAATGCTGCACCCATGATGATCAGCGTCCCGCCTACCACGTCAAAATCGGTGAGATCATCAACGAAGGTCTTGTATATGAAGTACACTAGAAGGACAAATAATGATATGATCACAATGGCGCCAAAGTGGGTCGACATCTGTACAAGAGTGAGAGGTGGTGATGGGAGTACACTTGGTTGTATTGTATCTTGGTTGAGACCAACTGAATTCGTTGACGATACGTGGCGGGTCCGGTGAGCTTTATTATAAGAGTCGCGTTGTGTGTTTTTTCATCCAAGGCACATGCCGAAGTCACAGGTATGACAGCAAATATCCTCCTAAACACATGAGCATAGCAAACAAGCGTATGAACAGAAACCTCGATTTAACAATAGACTACTATACAGCCAATCCAACTTCAAAACGCCCAGTCACGCCGCAACCAAATTTTGCGTGACAAATATGCACTCCAGATACGATTCCCATCAAATCCAACCATGCAAGTCAAAGCATCTACTCGTCATCCTCCTCCTCCTCCTCACTATCCTCATCCATGCCCTCCGCAGCCTCAACCCGGAAGCTAGGCGCCTGATCCACACCCAGATAGCTATCACTAACGAGATAGCACGTCAACTCATGGCTACCCGGCTTCTCGAGCGTAAACTCAAGCACAGTCTCCAACTTCCTCAGAATAGGCACCTTCTTAATCGCAAGTAGCGTATGTTCCTTTTGGTCACCCACGACCAGCCACCAGCTCTCCGTCTTGTCGGCCGGGTAGAAGGGCGCGTGGACTTCCATCTTGGGCTCCTCGTCTTCTTCGATGTTACGCGTGATGCGTACCTTGAGTTGGGCGGGCGAGTTGGAAGCGATGGATTCGGGGTCGACGAGTTCGTGCTCGATTTCGATGTTGGGGTAGAAGTTGTTTGTGAAGTTTGCAATGTCGGCGAGTTGGCGTTGGTCGACGTCGAGTGCGGAGATGAGCTTCTTGTAGTCTGGGTTCTCGTCTTCGTCCATGGCGTTGATGAAGTCGTCGACGTCGTTGATGCCGAATTTTTGGGCGGCCTTGATGGTGTCGGCGTCGAAGTGGGGGATCTGCTTGAGAGGAGAGTCCTTTTGCCACATTGCTTGCACGACCATCTGGGAGAGTTCCATGGCGGACATGGCGTTGAGATGAGCCTCGGATGAGAGAACGTCGACACTTGCGCTGAGGATGTTGAGGACCTTTCGCAGGACAACTTCCTGGTCTTTGGCCAGGTCGACGGGGAGCTGCATGCGTGAGAAGTGAGCCTGCAGAAGAACGAAAGCCTTGAAATGCGGCGTCTCGAAGTTGGGCTCCTGCATCTTGAAGGGAACGCGGTCGTAGATGCGCTGGAGGATGTGGTCCTCGTGCCTCCGTATCTGGATGTCCTCGAATTCGGTGGCAGCTGTGATGATCTCCAGTACACCCTTGAGACTTGTCCTGCCGTTGAGCGACATCATCAAAGTCTGCATGGTGATGAACGAAATGTTGTAGTACGCCGCAATCATGCACGGGTTCAGAGGTGTGATCGCATCCTCGTCTTCATCATGCTCGATGAGGTTGGCATCGGTCAGCTCCTTCAGGGTCGACTCAACCATGTCGGACAAGTGCGCGCTAAGTCCCTCGTGCGACGTGTCGTGGAGGTTGTAGTAGCTGGGGTTGGCGAGTAAACGGCGGTAGAAGTATGTGTATGTTGACCAATCGACGGCTTCTTGTGTTGACTCAATCGTCTTCGCGCTGATCTCGGCAACAAAGGCGTCGTGAAGGTAGTCGGGAAGGTAGCTCTCAATTGGAAGAGCCTCGTTAAGGAACTTCTTGTAGTATTCTCGCTTCACCGCAGGCAGCATAAGCACACCCTTCGCTGACTTGTCCAGTCCAACTCTGCCGGCCTTGCCAAACATCTGCAGGATATCGCTAATGGGGTAGTCGACGTATCGATGTTCGCGGCCCTCGTAGAATTGAGTGCCTTGAACAATGACGAGATGAGCACCGCTGTCAATCTCCCAGCAAGAGTCGCGCGATACGATGAGCACCTGGATCGCGCCAACCTTGAAGAGATGCTGAACAGCCTTCTTGTCGAAAGAGTTGAGAGCCTCGTGGAAGTATCCGATACCATGAGACAGCGACGAAGCCAGCGCTTGCTCATTGATCTTCTCAAGGATCGGTTGAATCTCAGATACTTCAACGTTGAGGAAGCGATCCTCGTCCTCGTCAGCTATGCAAGCGTTTAAGAGGTCAGCAGCGGAATTCCTGGCTTGCTTTCTGTTCGGGACGAAAACCATGGCCGGCTTATCTGGAGACATT